ATTTTCGGATCCGCCTCCGCGCAGTTCGGAGGGGGGAAGAGGGAGATCGAGTACACCATCGACATGTATGCGTTTGCAGCCTGGAGCTTGTACCTTTGCCGGACTTATCTTACCGTTTTTCTCTGTTGACCTGTTTTTAGTCCCCTCTCCCCCGGAAAGGGTTCTTAGAAGTTTCTTAACGAAGGGTGGCCCCAGAAAGGGTTCTTAGCTTCTCAGGGAAGGGGGGGATCAAGCATTCTTCCTGATTTCTGTGGCTTCGGAATTTGATTGTTTACCAGCAAATGGTCAACGTTGTCGCATCTTAGATTTGTTGGTTATTCATTTTTTCAGCCAGCAAGCATCAGATCTTGCAGGAGGGTTGGATCCTAAGTCTGGGTAAGGTACCTGGATTTCTTGAATTTCTTCTTGTACATGCTTCAGCTCCTGGGTGAGAGGAGGGATTGAGTGAGTGAGATTCTCGACCACAAGTGCCTTGTGCTTCTGGAACCTCAGAAAGCTCGCCGACAAGTTTTGGCATGGGCTGTTAAGTGGATCTCCAAGTGAGATTTAGGGATCCCAAACAGCAATTCGCGGGCACCTTCATGGGTGCCTGGTGCAAGCTCTTATCAGTGACAACAGGTCACCTGGCCAACGCTTCTGCAAGAGACAAGTGGCGCAAGAGCCGCCAATTCTGCACGGCGGAAACAGAATGCATAAATCCCCTGCAGTTTCCGAAAGTGCTTCTTTATTCTCCCTGGAATCAGTTTATTCCAAACCCAGACTCTCTCATTTTTCCATGTCCAGTAGGGTGCCACTTTTTCTAGCAATCATGGAAGTGGACGATCGGAGTTTTTTTTTTGAGGACTGCCATCATCTTGAAAGGACCCCTTTGCCACGCCCATGGTTGTTTGAAAGAGGGTAATTCCAGAGTGCGAGTGAGCTGGCCACGAAAGATCCTGCAGGTTTTGTTGTTTTTTGTATTACGATGTAACACTCCTCCAACATAGGCAACCATCCAACCCAAAAATGGCGGGTGTTCTTTTGGTTTCTCTTTAAGCCAACCTGGAAAGGCATATATATATATATATACATGTAGGCATATATTCGCAGGGTGGATCCAGTTGTCAAACGTTCAGTTCATTGTCTGCCAGCGCGAGTTTGTTCCTCTTCTGCGGCCTTTTTGACAGTCCACAGCGTAACTTTGGTGTATATTTTTGAAAAAATAGGGTGAGGCAGTGAGGCATGCACAGAGAAGACTCACTTCTTGAGTTCCTGGACATTATGTTTGTTTGGACCATTTTGGTGGTAAACAACAAGTTCGGAGCCGTTTTGGGCCCATCCACTCGTTCGACCTCCAAACTGTGATTCACAAGCGCTGAAGGTTGCGATGTTCATCCTTCCCTTAAACGAAGGTGGTTCCCTTTGTAGGGGTTTCCCTATATGTATGGATGAGGATGAGCCAAGCCTCCATTTTGCACTCAGCCCTCGGGGTGTTCGTGTGGTTCCACGGTGTGCGGTGAATAGCACCAGTAGATGGTAGGGGATTTGCAGCGAGCGCGAATCCAGTTTAGGCTTGAGCATCTATCAGCGATCCTTTCTTGCGATTAAACCTCAAATGGGCAGCGACAAAGCTCATGAGCACCTGCTAGACAAGCCTGGAGAACGTTTGGACAGGTTTCGGTCGATATTCTTTGGGAGGCAGGCAGTCAAGGCCCGCTTGCCATCCCTGCAGGACGGCGAAGGTTTGCAAGGCAGGGCGGGCGAAGTGTGGATTCAGCTCCATGGGCCTCCAGGGAGTCCACAAGATGTCTTCCCCTTCCCTTGCGACGCCTTAAGGCGCCAAACGGGTACGGGCCAAAATTAAACCACCATGGGACCACAGGTTTAATCCATGTTTCCATTTACCAGGGCTCTTTTGCAGAAACCCTTTTCGGCCCCGCGCGTAGGCGCCCAGTAGCGCTCAATAAGACAAATGATCGCTTTGAGTTTGTTCAAAGAGGTTTAACTGAAATGCATCATCTCACTGAAGCAGGAAACATCCCTGCACCCGGATCATGAATTCGAAACAAACATAGAAAGTTCCGTTGGAAGACTCCCGCATTTTTGGGGAGCATGCATGATCCGAAGAAATCACTGGCTGATAACGAAGGATTTTCAGAGGGTCTACCCTTTGAGGATGGGTTTTGGAGAGTGAAGGGTCGACGGTCCAAGTACCTTGGGTTCCCAAGCCTTGAACTTGGTGGGAACCCCAGACATCCGGTTCCTTAAGAGTTTTGGGGCTTTTAATAGGTTTGGTGGGGGTTTCCGAATTTTACCCGAAGGTTAGTCGCTTTTAGGGGATCAATTTGGACAGCCAAGCCAAGTACTGCTTTCCTTCGATCGCTTTTCTTGGAGGCGAGAGTGATCCAGAGATCGCGCTCTGGTCCGCACTCCGCCTTTGCGAGAGGCCGCAGTCCCAACAAAAACACTGCAAGATGGACGGCTGCACTGACTTCCCTTTGGGGGGCGGGGTCAAAGGTCTTTTAAACACATGGGCAACACTCAAGATGTGTTTCCTTTCGGCTTCCTTAAACCTTCCCTAAAAGTTCCCTGTTTTGAGACAGCTTGGTCTAGATTCCGCGTTGGCAAGCAGCTTTTCTGTGCGCTAAGTGTTTCCTTGGAGAGCTTTGTTCCCAGTGACATGCCATGTTTTTTGAGGGCACCCTTCTCAAGTTGGGTTCAAAGGGAAAGTAAAAGGAACTGCCACTATTTGTCTTTTGCGCCGGGGGGGGGGGAGTGGCCTGGGCCTTATTTTGACACACACACACACGCACGCAGAGACATGTTGCGGATTTTGCCACGCATGTTGCAGGGCCCAAGAAGCGGACGTTTCTTGTTTTGGTTTGCCGCGGAAGAGATAGTTGATGGGTTCTTGTCTTTTTGCGCTGAGGACTGGGCGCGTGTGACCTATTTATCATATTGTCGCCCCCCTTCCCCCAAATGACCCCAAACCCCAAAACAGTCACATTCATGTTTTTGTTTTGCACGTATAGTTTGTTGTTTGTGACTTTCAGTGAATCAGCCCGAGTTGCCATTGTTTGCCCTGTTGCTTGACCAGGTTGTCAAACGTGTGGCTCCGTTGGGGACCCTGGTGCTGCCCAAGACTGTCTTTTTATAGGGGATACTAGGGGATACCGAAAAGAGTCGCTAGTTTTGACAACCCTCCAGGTGCGCATTGCAAAAGCCAAGCAAATCTCAAACTTTGAAACATCAGGAGTTGAAGCGAGGCGTTGGCCAAAAAGTTGTTGACACAACCACCGCCTCCTTCCAAGGGAAACCAAAAGGAGGTTGTTCAAACCGCTTGGTGGTGTCAACTGCAAAGGACCTTTCCCCGACCACTGGTCTGTGATAGGAAATAAGCGAAGCCCAGAGCGAAGCTCCGCACTATGTACCCATGGCCTAAACGAGGCATCGACTCGCCCTCGCGGAGCCCACGAAGCTAAGTGTATGAACGATCCTTTGGAGGTGTTTGGTTCCATCGCTAAACCCGATGCGATGGAGTAAAGACTTGGTGGCTCCCAGCCATCTAGTTCAACTTCGCTTTTTGGATCCTTTTAGTGTTTAGTGGTAGTTTCCGAATGTAAACCGCTAGAAGTGAGTCACTTTTAGCGGGGGATCAGACAACGGGCAGCCCAGAGAATGGCATGGGATGTTCCCACCCACGCGTCTCCATGTCGCGGCTCTCGGGGTCTCTCCGGCGACTCTCCGCGCACGTGATATCTCTGGGGTTTGGCAAAGCGAGCTACGTGAAGGTTCCATACAGGGCGGATGGCCTAACTCGCATTTTGCGAGTGATGCTCATTTGTCTACAGGGCTCATTAAAAGATACATTCTGCCACTTGAAGCATGGCTTTTTCCACCAAAATAAAGGGAAACCGCAATTTACAAGTTGCAATGTTCAGGTGTTTTTCATGTAAGGATCCCTGGTCTGGGGCCTGTGTTTTGTTGGAGATCCATATCAGGTTGGTGTTAAGGCAAGTCAAAGGAACACCTTAGGGCCATCCTTCTGTGGATAGAGGGTGTTGCTTTGTAGTCAAATCTGTACGAGTGTGTCCAGCCGCAGTGCCTGACTTGTCCAAAACCAAATTTCAATATGTTAAACCTTGTTTTGTTGTCTTCGTTAAGTGGCTGTTTGCCACAAATAAATAATTGAACTTTCAAGACCCTGGAATTTGAATCAGTACTTGGATGTCCAATCTGCCCCGTAAAACCATGGATACAACCTACTTACTATGTTGATTGAGCATCCTAAACCGTATCATCCTATGTACTATACGGGCAACCTTCTTGCAAAGATGGTTGAGCATCCAAATAGCCTGGATCGCCAGTTGCTGTTGTTTTATTATTATTTTTTCCCATGCACCTTACCCCAACAACCAGCAACAGTGACAGAAAAGAGCGATCGCACCTTGGATATCTAGGCGGTTCCTTTTTCAACCCCAAACCAAGCCTAAACCAATCCTAAACCAACCCCAAACCAAGCCGGAACCAATCCTAAACCAACCCTAAACCAACCCTAAACCAACCCCAAACCAACCCTAAACCAGCCCTAAACCAACCCTAAACCAAGCCTGAACCAATCCTAAACCTGAAGCTCAGACCCTTCCCAAGCGCGTGGCCCTATTACGGATGACCCTCCACTTGGCTATCTAGGGAGCTGTGACATCCGTTTCACTCGAGCCGCGCCTCGATTCGATCTCTCTTTTTCCAGCCTCACCGTGGCGGAGGGCCATCTCGCGCGGACGCTCGGTTTTAGGAAGGGCTTGGGAGGGTTCGGTGCCAAAGGACTGACTTCCTAAGTTCCTGGATTTGTGGTGTTTGCGGGTTTTGCGACAGTTTGTTGGTGGCAAACAAACAATTCAGAGTCTGCTTTGGCGAAAAAGTCCACTCAGGAAGCTAGATTCCTGAGTTGGTGTTTTGCTTTTGTGCATGGTACAGGCAGCCACTTTTTCGCGAAATCTGGCTAAAAACAGCATAGGGAAATGCACGATCCACGCCAAAAAGGCTCGCTGAGACTGATCTCCACTTGAGTGGCATGCAGGTACATCTAGGTCCCCCAGCAATTGGTGCCCTTCTCTCCCCTTTCTTTTTTTCGGTTGGGAGATTCGGTGCCCCTACTAAAATAGCTTTCACAGAAACGCCCTTTTTGGTTGGGACGGGAGATGCGGTTCCCCTAAAATAGCTTCTACAGAAAAAAGATCGAGTACCAACTTCTTCTAACCTCTCTGGAGGACCTTCAGGTGCTTGGAAGTCTCGCGAAGGACGCCCAAGCCCAACGGTTCCCAGCAAGAGCCCACCGCTGCATTTGGGTGTGGCTGAAAATTCAACGATCGGAGGGGCAAGCGGCAGGTTTTGGGTCCATTCCACGTACCGATCGGGCAACCCATTTTGGAAGTCCGGTTTTTGAGCCATTGCCATTTTTGTTGCCGCGGGTTGGACCAGGTACCAGAGAATGGTTGAACAAATTCCCAGACAGCCAAGTTGCTTTATCGCTTTTTTCAGTCACTGTTGCGATCGGTTTTTGGGGCAAAGTGCATGGGGGAGAAAAAAAGCAACTGGATCGCGATCCAGGCAGTTCCCTTTGGGAGAGGAAGCAGTTCCGAAGGATCCCAGGCCTGGGATTTGAGTCCAGTTCCCAGCCCAGGTGCCCAGCGCAAGTTGCGCAGCTTCTTTTTGTCCGAGTTTCGTATCTTAAAGGGGGGGAAGGTGAGATAGAGACTACTTTGTTGGTCAACCTGAAACCCAACCCCACCCCACTCATTCTACCCCACTTCCTTTCGAGACAAAAAAACAAAGGAAAAACACACACACACACACACCCACCCTACCCCACTTCCTTCCTTCCGGGGAAAAACAAAACAAGAAAGAAAAAAAGGACAAACAAAAAAAAAAACGCGCGCTGCAGTTCTTGGGCACGGCCCTCACCGCGCTGAGCGCGGCGGAGAAGCCCGAGGTGCTCTCGGCTGCCCTGGAGGCGCCGAGCGCGGCGAGCGCGAGGGAAACCCCACTGGAGCCGCTTGCGAGGAAAAGCGATGGTAGATGAAGGTTCAGGGACAATCCCAACCACAAATGGGTGCAGCCGCCTTTTTTTTTCTTATCATTTTTTACTTTTAAATTTGGGTAGATCTGTTTTTAATATAAGGTTTTGATGATGACTCACTTGCCCTCTCACCCTTTTCGCATGGAACCTGACGTTTGGGGGGTCCTGGCTTGGAACGTTTTCCTTTTAAAGGGACCATTTCCCGAATGTCAGGTTCCGGCCGTGAAACGGGTGGCAGGCTAAGGCGTATAGATGCGTAGAAGTTGGTGGTGTTTGTGCCTTTTTTAAAAGGAATCGGACACCCCCAAATTGGTGGGTTTCCTTTTGGTTTCCCTTTGCAACCAAGGGGTACCCTGAAAAAATAAACCTCCAAAACGTGTGTAACCTTTGGAGCTTTTTTGCCGTTTTTGTTCTTTGAAGTGTGATATTGAAATCGCTACGCGATCCGCCGACGCAGTGGACAGTCCCCTATTAATACACTGGGGCTGATCAATTTGGAGTCAGCACTGGCTCAAGGGACAATTGCCAGACCAGGGCAGCACAAAGTCAGCTCGCACCCCTCTGACGTCGGCTGCAGGGTGCTTCAAATTTGGGGTAAGGAAAAAGACTCTTTTTTTTGCCTAGGTCACGTGGGGTTCTTAGCACGTGGAAGCAGAACGAATGCAAACAACGCCTTGCCCCTCTGACGTCGGGTGAAAGGTGCTTCGATTTTGGGGTAGGGAAAAGTTGTTTTTTGCCAAGGTCACGTGGGGCTCTTGACGCGTGGAAGAAGAACAAACAACACCCCTCTGACGTCGGCTACAGGGTGCCTTGAATTTGGGGTAGGGGAAAAGATCTTTTTTTGCATAGGTCAAGTGGGGCTCTTAGCGCGTGGAAGCAGAACGCAAACAACGCCCCCCTGACGTCGGCTGCAGGGTGCCTCGAATTTGGGGCCGGGAAAAGACGTTTTTTTGGCTAGGTCATATTGGGCTCTTAACAAGTGAAAAGAGACCAAACGACGCCCCTCTGACGTCGGCTGCAGGGTACCTCAAGTTTGGTCAGGAAAAAGACGTCTTTTTGCCTGGGTCTCTTAACGCCTGGAAGGAGAACAAGCAACACCCCTCTCACGTCGGCTGCAAAGTACTTTGAATTTGGGCACACGGGAGTCTCAACGCGTGGAACGAGAACAAACAACGCCCCTGAGGTGCCTTGAATTTGGGGAAAGGAAAAAGGAAGATGGTGCCTGGAATTTGAGAAAGGAAAAAGATGTTTTTTTGCCTCGGTGACATGGGGCTCTTAACGAGAATGCAAACAACCGCAGGGCTGCACATTTGACAGGAGAAGAACACTAGGGCCTGCTCTTTAAACCACCCCCCGAAAGGGTATAAAAGCAAGGCCCCAATTTGTTTTGTAAGTGCAACAAGGCCTTCTTGGCACTTTCCTGTTTTTCATCTCCCAGATGCTGAGGATGCTGGAAATGCAAGGGATGCGATGATGCTGGGGATGCAGATCCTGCGTGTTCGGGGGAAACCCTCCCCCCTACAAACCTAGGCGAAACGCATATGCTTAGCACGAAAGACCTAAAAACACTGGAAAATTACAGGGTTTTTGACACTTAGCGCCGCATGCCCAAAAATAGCAGTCCCAAAAGCCTTTGGCTTTGATAAGAGACTCCGAAGGAAGACCCAGTGTCGGACTGCCATCTACATGCTCGACTGGGGAAACATTGGGTGCCTTGCAATGGCTCCGCTTTTTTGAAGTGGGGCTGCGCCGAATGCGTTTTGCGATTGTACCAATGAGAAGGTCGACAACAGGAGTTGGGTCGTGGTCCCGGCCGCATTGCAAACCAGTCACCGCTTTGTGGGGAGCACCAGAAAGTCGTTGGGAGACAAGCGAAACAAGCCTTTCCGACACCCAGGAGCCATTCAGTCCCTTTCCTAGGCGTATGCTGCGCTTATTTTGGGAGAACATAAGGACGAGGTCCCCCAGCTAGGTGCCCTTCTCTCGGTTCCCCCTACAGTTGGTGCCCTTCTTCTAGCCTCTCTACTGGAGGACCTAGAGGACAGGGCCAAGTCTTCAAATGTCCAGACTCCGCATTTGGCATCCAGTCATTGTTTGCGATATGCTATTCAAGGTAGACTATCATCGGAGCTAAACAGCACGGCTCCCCTAATTCATTTGGTGTACCCCGACATTCGTCGGGTGCGGTCACTTCGCACTACCCGCAGGTGCTCAGTGTGCTGATGGAGGCCCAAAACCCTTGCACGATGGACGGATGGGAAGATTTGGATGTGTAGTTGGGCCTGTTTTTTTACTGGGCGCCTTTTTTTTGTGGCTTCAAGGGGAAACCAAAAGGAAACCCAAAAATCTAGTCGACACCCATCTTTCTTTGAGGCTATTTATTTTTGGATTGTTGAGGGAAGCCATTTGGACCTTTTGGAGGCACCCCTCCTTCCACCGGGAGAGTACCTAGTAATCTTGGAGGGACTCCCTTTCAGGTGCCAGGGCAACGTGAGAGGGTTACCCAGAAAGTGCCATTCCTCAGCTCTTCGTGCGTACGGGTTGCCACTTAAGGCCAGTTTGGGAACAGACTTTCACAGAGCGGGGCCTGAGATTTTCTGACTTCACGACAGTGGATGGATCTAATGGTTCAACAGTTGGGATGCATGAAACCCTGGCATACTGGGATATGCTTTGTTTCCCGACAGTTTTGGACATGTTTTGTTAGTCGAGCTCAGTTTATATTCTCATTCCCAGTCGTTCAATCAGTTTTTCAATCCACTCAGGACAGAGCAGCGCAGCACTCAGTACTATGCAAAAAAACGGTGTCGCGCTTTTAGGCATTCCTTTGGCTCAAAGCCCAAAGCCGAATGGGTTGATGCTGAAACCATGGTAAAAGTGGTTTTCCCTTGGTTTAGGTTGAGTTCTCCTGGCTATCCTCATTCGGAGCGTCCGAATGATCTTTGCCGTAAAACCTTCGCAGCTTCACATGAGCCACAATCAAAACCCGGGTAGATGAAGGTTAGTAAGGGGCAGTCCCAGCCAGAAATAGTTGCAGCCGCCTTCTTAATTCTTTTCATGGTTCTGGGTCGACCATTTTAATACCGGGTTTTGAGCAAGTGACTCACGTGCCAGTTTGGGCGTGTCTTGTTACGGAGCCTTGTGCTCAAACCATGGGGGCTCTGAGATGGTTTGACACCCAGCGAATTTGTCTTTGTCTCGAGGTCTTAGGAACTGCCAGCTGCAATTCCTACAAGGAAAGCCACGGTAAGGGGTGTCCTGTCTTTACGGCAACGGTTTTCTTTTTGGGTTTTCCTATACCCCGGCCCCCAACCAAAAAGGAGTTCCCTATACACAAGAAACAACGCCACTCATTTTGACGTCCCCAAGAGACGTTTGAAACCACAACACATTTTGTCTATCCCTGGTTGCCTCCGAGAAGACCTCGACCGAGCTAGCTTTGGGTCTCATTCCAAGAAGTCTTTCGACGGAAGGCTATCCTCTTGGTTTCCTTTTAAACCCAAGGGAAAGGTTTACCCTCAATAAACAGACACACCCCATTGTTGTTGCTTAGGGGACTTCTATTGGCTCTTTTTTGGGGGGGTTGAGATGAAACTAGATATAGTTCCATTGGCTGAAATGCTGTTCCCCAGATAGCTGAAACATGGTTGTTGTTGGGACACATTTGACACATTTTTGCTTATTGTGGTTTAGTGGTGGAAATCCAAATCCACTGAACTGCTAAAAAATGAGAATTTTTGCTCCCCTTCCAAAGTCAACCAAGTTATAGCCTTATCCTCTTAGCGTCCCTTCAAAAAATAGAGGAAACGAGGCGTTCTTCAACAAGGACAGGGGTATTTGCGCATGACTTCCCCAAAGAAAATGTGCCCAGAGAAATCGGGCCAACCTTCCAACCTCTTGATGTTTTTGCTTTGCAGTGGCTGGATCCAACTGGCCATGGGGCGTATCCTCTCGTTTCATTTTGGGGTGGATGAACATCCATTTGCCACCTATTTTGATGTTCACCAGGGGTACAGGGTTTTGACCCACGGCCAACTGCTGATTTTCTGTTGCAAAAGCTGGGTGTTCAGGCGTAGCTTGCGAGACCGCGCATGGCCGCTAGGTTGATGATCAGAAGATTTGGCAGAAAGAGGCGGGCCGGACGCTTTGGGCGTCCGGCAGGGTTTCCGAGCCATGTTTGTGGGTGAATTACAACGACCTCACCCCTGGTGGTTTATGCGGACGATTTCCCTTTTGGGAGCGAAGAAAGGGTTGACCCATCGGCAAGGCGAACCGAGTGCTCGGCCAGTTTTGCGGGGGTAATTTTCAGAATTCTGGCGTTACCGAGTTTTCTCCTTTTCCCTTTTGGAACCTCCAAAAGTGGCGGGCAGCTTCAATGGACACCTTTTGAAGTCTTCGACCTTGAATGTCAGCCGGTGTCACCGCATCTTTTTTGGCCCCAAGAGCCACCATTGGATCAACCCCTCACCTACCTTTTTGGCAGAGGTCCTCCCCAAGGCCTCTTTCTTGGATGTCTTCCAAATACCGCCAGATGCGCCTCTCTCCTCTTTCACTTGGTAAACATGTACTCTTCCCAAACCCAAAATAAGAGGTGTATTCATAGTGCTCGGGGTGCCCCGTTTCTTTCAGGATCTTGGAGACTCACAACCACCCCGCTCGGCTGACTCAAAATAGTGTTTTTGTTTTTTCCCTTGAACCAATCCTTTGGTGCATTTTGCTTGGATGTTAGGACTTGAACTTTTGCCAACTAATGTTTTTTTCCATTAAACCACTAAAAGTTAAACTTTTAGCAGGGGAGCAGAAAGCAACCGAACCAATCCAAAGGGTAGTACAAGAGGGTGAACAAGAACATGATGTCTCCATGGCCATGGTTTTAACCTGTCAGTGCCCCAAATGCTATTCTAATTTCAGGATACGGGGGGAACCAGAAATTACGGGAGGATTCCCCCTAAATGCAACTTGACTAAGTACATGGGAAATGGCGCCAAGTTGGAATCCCCCCATATCGGGACCCGCTCCCTCCGTATCCGCGAGGAAGTTCGTTTGTCCAATAATTACTCAGCCCCCCTACAGACCGGAGACTCTAGCCTCAGGTGCCGGCCTTCCTGTCGGACGACCTGGTGGAGAAGTCCGCGGCTTATCATCACCCGCCTTGATGTGTGCGAGTGGGTTCCTTCCTAGGTCCGTTTCAAGGGATCCAAAGAACAAAACGTTCGCCGTTGTTGGGCGGGCACCCCTCTGACGAGTGGAGGGGCGAGAGCCAGTTCGCAGCAGTTCAGAAACTAGGAGAAGTTACAACGTTTGTTGGTCTTTGGGTGTGGCTCAAAATTAAAGGATCGGAGGGGCAAGCCGCGGGTTTGGGTCCATTCCACTTACCAGGGCAACCCATTTTGGAATTCCAGTTTTTTGAGCCACAACCATTCAGAGGGCAATCATAAATCGTTCCAGGATTTCTCCTCGCTGGCGCGAACGGATTTCGTCCGCAGTATTTCAACACACGCCCAGACTGGCTGAACGCAGGTTCAGTTTGGTTTGTGATCGTTTCTCAGTCTTCGAGCATCTTGACCTTTTTCTCCAAAGTGGATGGACAAGATTCCTGCACCACCTAAGAAACCATGGGAAACCATTGTCGGTATTTGCAGGAGAATCCTTCCAGGGTTTCTTACGTGCGAACTGATTTCGCCCGTCCTTGTCATCCCTGGTTGCCACCTTCTTAACCTTCCTGTTTAGTAGGTTCCCCGCGAACAAACAGTTCACCGGAATCGCCTTCCATGGATTTCGTTCTTGCCAGTGCCACTGGGCAACCGGCGGATGTTCCCTCAGCTCAGTGCATGTGTGTGAGAGAGAGTTGTCCTCGATCAAGCCGTGCTCATTGGCTCGCTCCATAGTCTCAAGATCCACTCAAGCTGGCTGCAATTTGTTCAGCACCGAGCGCACCTCCAACGTTGGCATTTGTGCATGGTTTCAACATGTGTGCTAAGTTGTATAGATGCAGTACCAGGATTGGATGAACGTGCATTGTCAGCCTATATGTGGTTCAGTCATCAGGCAACTCTGAGTTTCGGCTTGCCCTTAGTTGGCAGTTTGGATTGGTGGTTTGGATTTGGAATTCAACCCCTGGCTTTTGTAGGGGTTAAATGGGAAGCCATGCCTGAACTACCGCCAATCTAAGCCACCAATCAGAGGCTTTCATTTGTTTAAGAATATTTTGTTTATTTTCCCCTGTTGGTGTTAAAGGGAATCAAGTTCACTGCTGGACATATATATATATATATATATATATATTTTTCTCCAGGGGGCGCTTGAAAACGCAAATGGAAGGAGGGAAGCGGGGGTTTTTGGTTTGGATGGGTTTGGATAGGTTTGCCTCCAAACCACCGAGCTCCAAGCTGGGCCTCAGGCTCGTGCTGCTGCTAGTGGACATCGAGGAGCCGGAGCAACACCCTGGTCGGGAGTAGGCTGGATTTGGATGACTTCCATTTGTTTATCCCTGTTGGTGTTGAAGGGAAGCTATCACTGCTGGAAATATGTTTACTTTTTTCCAGGGGGCGAAAAAGCAAATGGAAGCTGACAAAGCTGGGGGCTCCTCCAAACACATGTTAGATGTTAGGGGAATGAAACTTAGGGCCGCGACAACTCTGAGTTGAATGCACAGGCGAAGCTTTTTGAGAATCCTTCTTGCAAGTGCATGAGCTTCTGAAATAACCGGAAGTTGTTATCATTTTCCTGAGTCAAGCGCATGCTGTTTGTGAACTATCTGGCCTGTTGGTAAAACTATGATTGGCTCTTGTCATAAGAGCGCTCGAGGTTTACAATTCGAGGCGTGTTTCTGCAGTTGCTTCCATTTGTTTGAGAATATGTTGTGTTTTCCCGGTTTTAAAGGGAATCTATCACTGCTGGAAATATTTGTTGTTTTTTTTTCCAGGGGGTGAAAACGCAAATGGAAGGTTGCAAGCTGTTTGGGAATATGTTTTATGTGCCTCAAGATGTCTTGGCGAGAGCTTCCGTGAAGCGCTAGTTTCAATGCTGACCTTTGCAGCATGTCAATGGCTGGGATATTGAACAACGCACCAGACTTGCCCTGGGTGGGGTGATCAGGTTCTTTTTTTTTTTTTTAAGGGAACCCTTTTTGGGGCTGGTTGAAAGGGAAGACAAACAGAAGCCGCCATTGTTTGGAGTCGAAACCAGCTGTCTGACTTCCACTTGCTCAATAATACATCTTTCTTTCCCACTTTTCCCTGTGGGTTTTAACGGAATTTGCGACTGGACCAAGTTGTTGATTTTTTTCCCGGGGACTGTGGCAGGACGGCCAAGATGTGGTCGCAGCTGCTTTGGCCCCGTGGCGTCAATGTGTTATATATATATATATATACATATATATTGGGGTGCTCCAAAGAATGCGTCCGTTTTCCTTATGGTGCACCTGTATAAACCAGCCTGAAAAGGGTACCCCACAAGACGCAAACCCAATGTCACCCTTTGCAACTCATATTCCATTTGAGGAGCCCGTTGGACATGTCAGGTGCTTCTTAGTTCCATGTTGGTGAGGAAATCGCAGCTCACGGGAAATGATGGATCCCTGCTTCGGTAAGTTAAACTTCCCCCTGAATTTGGTTTTCCTGTAGGTGTCCCTTTAAACCAATCCTAAAAAAAGCATCCTCAAAACTAGACATGCCCAGATCCTTACCCTACGGGAATGTTCATTTGGATTGCCCGACACTACATTCTCACTCCCTGACTTCCGTTTCGGACAATAGTCATTTTTTCGGTTTGGAGTTTGGACCATTTTGGTGGAAACACAAAGCTTGGTTGCTTTTTGTTGGCCCATCCACACGATCGGAAGTGAGATTTTGAACGGCCCAGTCAAGCTCAGAACCTGGAGCCCCACTCACGCCAGGCCTCTCTTCAGCCTCCCGAGTTGGAGTCCTTTGGCACTGGAGATGCGTGGGCGGATCGATCCAAGTAGCCCCTTCCTAGGGGGTTTTCCCTTTTTTCTGCCGGCAAGTGGACTCTGAGCCAACAGGGGGACACTGAGTGTTCTGCTTGCCGCAACGAAAATCAACGAAAATCAACGAAAATCAACGAAAATCAGTGGTCTGAACCAACGAAAATCAAGCAGGGGTGTTCTGCTTGCCGCCTCCCGGGTGTTCTGCTTCCTCCGATAGTGTTTTTGAACCCCTGGGAGCCACCAACCAGCCATCCGGCTCCCTAGCTTCTTAGCCTTTTAGCATTCAGACTTCAACCGCGGAAAGTTAGACTTTTATTCGGGGATCTGAGGGCAGCCCAGTTTTGTCCTTTGGAGCATGTCGTTTGGTTTCTGACTACCGGACCCTTCTGAAAATGATACATTGGGGTATTCCCTATGGTTTTCCTTTTTTGAGGGGTTCCCCCAACAAACCCCAGGCGGTGCTTGAGCTGGCGCCCCGTGTCTGGCTGGAGCCGCACCGGGAGGCACCCAAACCGCCACAGGGTGGTGGGGGGGGTTGGGGGGGTTGGGGCAGATCTTTCGGCCCGGTGACTTGCAGAGTCCATTACGGTGACCCTCCGACAGCTGTGGAGAGAAAGAGAGAAAGAGAGAGAGAAAAGGCGAGCCACTTGAAGCTACTTCCAAGCAAATGGTGTTTTTTCTTTCTCGCCTCTTTTATAACGGGCCCAAGACCAATTGGGGGAGTTCCCCCTTGAAGGTTTTGGTTTCTGAGCTTGCTACATTCCTGTGGTTTGGCTGGCCGCAGATCCGGTCGACCATGCTGGCTAACAAACGAATGACCCCACTCTAAATAGTGGGCTTTGGTGCATTTTGCCAAGGGATGAATAAATTTTTGTGTTAGGACTGAATCATTTTTTGCCAAATGGGTCTTCCGTATTAAACCACTAAAAGAAAAAAACACTTTTAGCAGGGACCGAGGTGGGTTGTACATGTGTCTTTCCTTTAACACCAGCCATAGACCTGACGATTCATTTGCGGACACCCGGGGACACCCCTCTCATCTGCCACGACCGATGACTGCCCTTGTCTCACGTGAATCATGGGTGAGGCGGACGCAGGAAACCAGAGGCTTCCAAACCCGGGATGGCGTGCCTCTCAGCTGAGTTCCTGGACCAGTTTGGCAAACAAAAAGTTTGGTTACTTTTGGTTGGCCCATCCACTCGATCGGTAGTGAGGTCCTCATTCTCCCAAACTTGGTGCTCCGATTTGGTTTGGCTTGGTTTCCATGAAAATCAGTGCGAAAGCAGGGGCGAGCCTCTTGTTTCCCCTAGCAAGCCTCTGCATATTCCTTTGTTCTTTCCTCGGTTTTCGTTCGACTACCCCCTCAATGCTTGTGGCAATATGGGATCGGATCGCGGCACCTGCCCGCACTTTCAGAACGGCCAGTCCCGGCTGGTCACTTTGTGCTCTGAAGCTGATACCATCCCAAACTGGCGATTTGCTGGTTGAGCGCGAAAAGAGTTCGTCACCATCACGGTCACCAACTTTGTTACATTTTGCTTGGCTGTTAGGACTTTAACTTTTTGCCAACTAATGGGTTTTCCACTAAACCACTAAAAATTAGACTTTTAGCAGGGGAGCAGAAAGCAACCGAGAGTATACATCCTGGATGTATGGGACCAAGGCGAATGGGTCCCAGAATTGGCTGCCTTCTCAGACCTGGCGGGGACCGTCATGCGCTACGAATCGTAGCTGGTGACTTCCGGGCTGCCCCGCAAGCTCCCTCCGCCAGCGGAAGACCAGAACTTGTCCCAGTGGCATCCCTCCCTGCCATGTGGAGATTGCGGCATTCGCCGCATGTCCCACATGTCAATCAAGAGCCGATTCCAAGTGAAGGGTAAAGGACACTCACAACCAATATGTGCTGCCGCCCTGTACATTCTTCACATTGGTTTGGGTAGACCCTTTGAGTTCTAGGTTTTGATTGCATGTGGTGCCAAATCAGCCCGCAGCCTGCGCGATTTTCGGCGGTACCTGGGGTCTCCAAGAGGATCCAAGAGGATTTGTATATATTTTGTTGTAGACTAGATATGGGTTTGTTTGCAATTTAGGAACCCAACAAAGGCTGGTTCTCCTTTTGGCTTCGCCTTAAAAACCTAAAAGGGGTTCCCCCCGCAAAAAACATATCGCACAAGAAACCAGGGCAATCCAAAGGAGGAGGGGGTTGTTCTCCGAAATAGAAAGAAAATCCCCCCAATCCCCCCCCCCCCCCCCCCCGTTCTTTCGGGTGTTCCGACGTAGGCCCTGGCGCAAGCTATGGCTGCGGTTTCGGAGTCGTGCGCCTTGCGCGGGTGCCGAGTCGATTCCGCGCGAGCGATGAGAGGCGCTGATTCGGGGGGAGGGAGGGGTGGGGAGAGCCCATCTCAAAATAGGTTCTCGAAATAACCAGGTCCCCCAGCTAGGTGCCTTTTACCGTTACTCTTTTGGGTGGGAGATTCGGTTACCCTACTAAAATAGACAAACCAGAAAAAAAGTTGGTAGCCTTATTCTAACCTCACTGGAGGACCTAGATAAGGAACCCAACATGTTTCCTCTTCAAGCCAGGGAGGGTCCGCATTGAGAAACCCCAATGAGAACACCGGCTCAAAAAACCAGAATTCCAAAATGGGTTGCCCTGGTAGGTTGAAGCATGGAAAAAAAAAACCTGCGGTTTGCCCCTCCTGCTTAATTTTGGGCCACATCTACATGATGCCAGTTTGAATAAGCATCACTTGGACTTGAGACTGAGTTTCCTCTTATTGGTTGCGGGGAAAAGCTGGGGAGCCCAGTGTCCGGCTTCAGTTTGGCGCACTTCCGGTGTTCCTCCCAGAAAGTGAAGGGCTCCTGAAATTTTAGTCTTGGAACCTCCGTGGTTGGCAGACATGAAGCCCCGAAGGTTCCCCCAGGCTTCACGCCTTTGTAGGTGCTCCTCCCTAACGGTTTTCAGTGATTCTCCCCTTTAAACTCCCCTGAACCCTCAAAAGCACAAATGTGGCCGCGGCTCATTTGTTTGGTCCGGAAGTGCCAACACTTCCAGCGCCGCGCTGTTTGAGCCACACAGAAGTTGCGCTTCTTGAAGGCCTGAGCGATTACAACCCTTTCCCGCTGCAATTGCGGGGGTGCGCGCGGTCAATTTTGGGCCTGGGAAGCCTGCTGTTATTATAAACTTAAAACAGGGCGGTAGTTCCTGTCCCACGCTGGCCGCACAAAACGCACTTGTTCATTCGATCCGCGGCTGGAAACGTCTTGGCAACACAGGCAAGAAGCATAAACTTTTGTCTGACGGAAGTATTCACGCCCAAATCTCCGGAATTCCTGAATTGGTGGTTTGGATTGGTGACTCGGAGATTCGTACCCCAGTTCCTTTTGAAACCAACTGCAAAAGGTACCCTCTAATCTCCAAACCAGCCAAAGCAGCAACTACTGGCAGACTGGGTAAACTAGCACACGTCGAGACTTGTGTTTTTGTTTGTTTTTTCTTCATTGCTTCTAGCCAGTTCAGGCCACCAGTTTCACACCTGGCCATGAGTTGTAAAAAGCATTTGGTGGACATAAATCCCCACCTAAACGATGTCTACCAAAGGGTCCCTAATTAACTCAGTTGTTCAGTGGCTCCCTTTTTCCCCTTTTTTTTGGTGGCTGCCCCACTAAAATGGTCCAAGCCCAAAAAAGGGTTCCCTTTTTTTTCCCGGGTCACTGAACAACTGAGTTAAACTTCACATCTCAGGTCACCGGACTTCCGTGCCTTCTTGTCGACCTGAAGGCGCCCTCTCGACTCGCGGCAAAAGCGCGGCGTTGCTCGCTTTGCTCGGCGCGGTTTTGGTCGCCTGCGCTTCCCCCCCCTCCCCGTGTGCTTTTCTTGCGGGCTCCGGCCAAACATTGTCCAAAAGAAGATTGTCCTGAAGATGGTGCGTTTTGGGGGGATGTTTTCTTTGGGGTTGGGGTCAACGTGCAGAGGAAGCCGGCTAGGTGTTTTGTTTGTCTCGAAAGGCAGCAACAAGGGAATGGATCGTGTTCTTGCTCACGCCCAATTTGCCACCCATCCACTTATTATAGGAACTAGCAAAAACTGCCCCCCAAAACCCCTATTGGCAATGTTAGTAGGTGGTTCTAGTAACCGGTTTGATTGTACATGTAAACCTTTACAACCAAGGCCAGTAAAGGACACCGCCAGGGTTTTGCCCCTTCCCCATGTCCAATCTTCGCTTCGGGGAGAATGTGAACTCAACATATGCTATTGTCCTAGGGGTAACTTCCCCCTTCTTTCCAGGGATCCTTCTTTCTAGAAAACCACCCAAAACCCTGGGGAAACGGCGATCGGTTTTCGAAAAGAGCGATGGCTGAAAAGAATGGAAACGGAATCAACCCCTAGAATTGTTTGGTTTCTTTTGTCAAAAACGCGGGGGGCCGGAGCCTTGGAGCCTTTTCTTGGATCCCTGGGACTCAAATTATTTCCGTTTGAGTGGACAGGTCACTTGCCCCCTTAACGGCAGTGATTGGGATGTTTGACCTTCGGTGCTTAGGATGCGTGCTGAGCAACCTAAGTTGTATGTCTTTAGAGGAAACCAAAAGGGATGTTTGCTTCTTCATATTTTTCCGGACCTGTGCAATTCCCAGAAATTGGCCTTCCGTCGGAATACGCAGGAATTTGACAGTCTCAAGCTGGATTTCTGGATGCGTGAAGGAGAGGTGTAATTTCAGCAGAGACTCGTGGGTTTCTACGATCCGAAATGGACATCAAAATCCGGGGGTATGTACGACTTGTGAGGCGGTTGGTTTTGTTGACTTCAATGTAGGGTTCCGCAAAAGCAGATTTCTTTGTTTACCAAGATTTGCAGAGCGAAATTGAGAGATACTTCAATTGAGAGTGTTTTGTTTCTCAAGGCCCTCCTGTGAGTAGGTTGACACTTAAACAACTCCCGGCATTTTCCATGACCTCGGGACAAGTTCTGCCATCCTTTGTTGCGATTCGGAAAGCCGAGAAGCCGGCGCTCAGCTTGCTGAGCTAGGGATGGCAAGCTTACTGATGCTCCGGAGGTTGAACAGTTAAGGGGGTGTCTTCATCTAGGTCCCCCAGTAATGCCCTTTCTCACCCCGTTTTTGGGGGAGGGCTCCCCTACTAAAAACAGAAAACAATTGGGACCCTTATTCTAACCTCTCTACTGAAAAACCTAGTTATCTTCTTTCTAACTTGGTTGATACAGGGCCACAACTTACTTGCCCAAAGCTGACCCTTTGACCCCCCTGTTCTTGTCCATGTTGAGTCACGGCCCTAAAAGGTTACATCCTTTCCTATCTGGGTTTTGGGGCTACCGAGACAATATTATCGGATCATAACTGAGTTTGGTTTTCTTTCACTCCACCCCATTCAATGAAAAGTTCAGCCCCTTGTATACTATCCTCTTGCAAGCAACCATGAACGTGCACAGACCCAGTTGCAACGCAACCTCCTCTTGGAAGAGTTTGCCCTCTCAATCTTTCTTTGTAGGATGAGGATACACAAAGCTGGTCCAGATTTTCTTTCGATATCCAAAATCAGGGCTTCTCTTTCAATGATTTTTGGCCGTGCGGCACAGGTACGAACGGGGCGCGAAAGTTAAGTGCGAGCAAAAAATGGCGCCTGAGCGGAACATCCGCAGTGGTCGCAACCAAAGACGAGGGTGTGTGGGACTTGTTTGGGTATGTCGCATGTTTTGAACTGGGGGTTGCCGAAAATGGGCATTGTGTCCACCTCATTTGTTGGCATGCCCCTTTGTGACGCACATATTCAGTGTGTCTTTTTTTGAGGGTACCCTTTTCGGGGACCGTTTGAAGAAACACTACTAGTGTTTGTGTTGTTTTTTGTTTGTTTTTGTTTGTTGCGGGGGGTCCGTAGACAAACAAATACAACCAATGTAAACATATGTATATACATATATATATATATATGCAAATATTAGATCTCGGTTTTGCGGTTTTGCAGGAAGTCAAATTTTGACCATGGTGCCATTTGCAGACTATACGGTTCATGCGGCCAGCGGCAGAAGGTGTGCTTTAGGCACTAGATGCACGCGCTGGAGGCCAAACCCAACGCTAGTAGAGGCAAGAGGGGGGTAAATGGGTGTGGGTCAAACTTAAACCACCAGGGGACCGCAGGTTTTAGTCCATGTTTCCATTTACTAAGCCATTTTGGGGTATTTCTATGTTTGACCCACCGCCAAATCAAAGGGGCATTTCGTGTCTTATGTGACCTGCTCTGGCACCTCTCGGGAGCCCAACGTGGAGTTCAGGATTTCCTTTGGTTTCCCCCACTCAGTTGTTCAAAGCCGACCTTTTGACCTTTTGGTTTTCCCTTTTTGGTCTATTCTTGGTAGAGGTCCCAAAAGCTTAGCCTTTTATAAACAGGTCCTTTGGGCAACTGAGCCCACGAACAGGGTTGTGGGATCACTCGGGGTTTATCCAACCGCTTTGATACAAGTTGGAATCCCCTCTTATGGGGGGTTGGTCTTTGGGAGGTCATTTTTGTTGTATCACAGAAGTGGATTCCATTTCCCACAGCCCTGCCCATGAAAGCCCACAGATCTCAGATGTTTCTCTTCCAGGTATCCTGCCCTTCCGCCCTCGTGGCGAGCTTCCCAGGTCCCCCCTGACTTATGCATGGCTTTGTGTTTGAGGGAATTGTTTTTGTTGGGCTTACCCTTTTCAGCTTGTCTTAAAGGGGCACCAAAAGGAAAGCAACCTGGTTTGACGCCTTCAAGAGGAGTGATGTAGGCGGATGTATGGGGAGGTATGGGGGATACGCGCCCTGTGAGCGATCCAGTCCCTGATTTGGCTCAGCGGGAGCAACCAAAACGCCTCGGGCGAGCCTGGGCGATAGAGAGGCCACTTGCGTGTGGGTTGAGGGGAGGTCGGCGGGGTCATAGGCATTTGGGCCTCCTGCAACACTATTTTATATTGTCTCACTCCCTGCGTTCCTGGACTTTAAATTTCTGGGGAAGACCATTTGAGTGGTAAATATAACTTTTGGACTTTGTTTGGCCCATCAAGCACACACAGGCAAGAGCTGAGACACAATGGAAGGTGCGATGGATGAAGATAATTAAGGGAAGTTTCAACCACACATAGCTGCGGCCGCGCTTCGTTTCTTTGCATAGTTTTGGATAGACCCGTTGAATGCCAGGGTTTCGATTGTGACTCAGGTAGCTGTATGGAACAGGTGCCTTGGCAAATGCAAGCTGCTGCAGTCCGAATGTCCTCCACGCATTTGACCATGGGAATCGTCAATGTATCCTGCAAGGATTCTACCATGAGGCAGGCAACAACAGTTCCGGCGTATCCAAACTGATCAAGCCGGATGATCAAGCCTCATGAACAACTAGTATATGAGTTCTCATGTAAGTATCTATTCGCGTTTTTGAGGGTACCCTTCGTGGATATTTGAATGGCCAGCAAAAGAGAACAGCCATCAAACCTCCGGTTTTTGTTGAGGATAAGTGGTTTTCCCACACCCTCACCAAACCAAACCACCGAGCCAAAGCACCAAACCAGACCGCCCTTTTTGCGGGAAGATACCCCATGAACTTGGCAAAAATATACCGGCGCGACTGGAAAAACGCCTGGGTCTTTTGGGAGCTCGAGCGGGCAGTCGGGTTTGAATGGAACATGGTCTTCAATTTGTCAACCCCAGGTCGGGTGGGGTGGGAAAACCGGTTTTCGGTTTTTCTTTGGGCGCCCCTTTAAACGTTCAACCTGAAAAAGGGCACTCAAAAAGGGCCAAAGAGATCCAGAAGGGAAACCGCAAGTTGGATTGCTGTTGGGAATTCCCTGATTCCTCATCTAACCAGCAAGTGCGCAACCACGTATGGCCCTATGGCAGATAAACAGCTGAGCAGCAATCAAAATCCGGGTGGACGAAGGTTAGTAAGGGACAGTCCCAACCATAAGTAGGTTAAACAGGAGTGGGAATCCGCCTTTTTTTCCGCCCTTTTTCCGGCCATTACCCTCCCACCAACTAACATGGAAGTGCACAAAGCCCCTTTTCAAGAGGAAAGTAGTCTTTCTGTAGGGGTGCACTTCCAAGTTAGTCGGTGGGAGGGTACATAGTTTGAGTATTGCTGCCCGGTTTAGATTCTGACTCAGCTCACATCATCCAGCCGCTGGTTTCAGTCAGCCGACATCCGCCGATCCAGGCCAAGCTCATGACTGCAGCGAGGCGGGATAGCTACGGGTGACTCGTTGGAAGGCCCACATTTTGGGTGGGATGTGTCTCCCTTTACCTACGTCCCCCAGCTAGGTGCCTTTTACCCCCTTTTTTGGTTGGGATGGTTCCCCTACTAAAGTAGGCGACAAAAAAACCGGGTACCCTCAGTCTAACCTCTCTTCTGGAGGACCTAGTTAAGGAAAGATAGACGCTAAAAGTTCCAGCCATGTGAGTGTCCTTTTGCAAGTTTGAGGACATCGATCAAGGAGAATCTCACCTGCAGCCTGAGTAAGTAGTTTTGGTGGCAACCCCGGAGATGTCCCTCTTGTTAGGTTTATCCACATCAAAGTGCAGGCAATGTGGTGGTCAAACCGGTACCAACCTTGTTGCTTCTTGACCTTGCCATATCTAGGAAGGCACCGACACATGTGCTTTCAAACTCCCACGGTACGCTCTTATAGCATTGGTGCAGGCGAACGAGTCCCTCAGTCCATGTTGAACCAGGAAGACAGGAAAGACCACCTCAACCCATCCTAGACTCGCTGATATGTGTCGTCAAACAACTCCAGCCGATGAGTTGGTGGGTACTCAGCAGCCGCATGATAAAACACCCTCTCCTAAGCAAGACATGTTTGGGGAAAACTATGTTCTAGCCCTAGGGGACCCTGGTTCGAGGGTGAGATAGCGGTGCTTCAATGTGTTTTGTCGTTCCCACTGTTATGTAGGGTCGGTCAGCAACAGTGTTCCTGGATGTCATTTTAGGATATTTCAAGCAAGGGATGGCTCTTGTTTTGACTGTTTTGGGAGTCTTCCGAAACACTTCGACTTGTTTCCATTGCTTTGGTTGGCATGTATCCGACTGCTGGTAATTTTGTGGGATCTCCGGGATCGGGCGTAGAACTCATGAGGAGTACGCGGGGGGCGGGCGGCCCAAAGAGACCAAAGGATCTTCAGGGGAGTTAATACCAAACCCAGACCAAATAGCCCCCGCCCCCGAAAGGAGAACACCCTCATGGTTGCCAGTTTGTTCCTGTGCAGGATCTTCAGGGGAGTAGTACCAAAGGAAAACACCGTGAATTTGAACCAACCACCCCCCAGCCTCGTTTCATTTCGGGCTTAGGCCTTACGAGCCAGAAACGCAGCCCATCGGCGCGGATTCCTGGGAAGTCTGCGCGCGAATCTTTGCACGGGTAGTTCTTCCATTTGCTGAACATATTGTTTGTTTTTTCCCTCTTGTTGTTTGTTTAATCAACAATAAATAAACTAATAATAATTTGTTGTTTTTTCTCCCTTGTTGGTTTTGAAAGGAATTATCACTACATATATATATATATATATTTTCCCCGGGGTCGAAAACTAAATGGAAGGTATGTTTTTTTTTTTTTCAATTATTCACAGGTCCCCTTTCAGAAAGGAGCGTATGTTGCACGAGGTTCTTTCACTTCCTTGGGTCCGTCAGAGCTCCAAACCGATCTCTTGCGCGCACGATTCGGGTCCCAGTCCGCTTGGGGTTCAGATCTTTCGGGCTTCGTGGTGTCCACTGACCCCAGGTTAAGCAGAACCCCTGGTGGATTTTGATTGGGGGGGGTCGAATCCCTTGTTCTTTTAGTGATTCGAATCACTTTCAGGTTTATTAATCCGGGGTCAACATTGAGCTTTTAGCAGGGGAGCTGAGGGCCCAGGTTTTTTTTGGTGGGAGACTATAATTGTCTCAATGACGATCGACAACAAAACACGTGCAGCGCCCGGAAAAGGCGAATGGCTCTTTGTTTCAGACATGACTTGTTCATGACTTGTTTGCGCGGGTCGTTCGTCTTACATCACAACTTTGACTTTGACTGTAAGTTCTTGAAGGTGCCCCAACAAGGATTGCTCAATGTGGGTCGTAGGTTCGGTCAGCATGTCCTGTCCATGGCGCTGTTTCTCTTTTGGTGGAGGGATAGGGGAAGGGGGAGCTCACCCAACACTTCCCACCAGGCTCCCTTCCCGTGTCAGGCTGGGTAGCCGGGATTGAGCCCTCCATCTAAGGTCCCAACCATGTGCACCTTGAAAAAAAGCGTCACAAGGGGTACAGAACGGGTAGAAGAGCCAACGGGATATCTTGCAGAACTGCCGCGTGGTTCGCCCCTTAGACCTCAGATTTGCTGGAATCAATCCATCAGGAAAGCTCACCCCAGGTGCTCAGTTGCTCAGTGGGTTCCAGCCTCGACACCCCTTCGTTGCCAGGCGCAGTCTAACTTTATTCTAACCCCTCTACTGGAGGACCTAGGCGCATAAGGCCTTGAAAGCACATTGATCAGGAAGAGCCAACTAACATGGAGGTGCAAGAGCTCCCCTCCCGAAACCCAAGAGTATCCATTCTTCCAAGAGCTCGCATCAGAATTGCAAGTCGCCAGGCCGAAAGACTCGGCCGCCGGTGCCGGTCTCAGGTCTCAGGTCTCAGCTGGCGCAACCGGATAGAATTTTCGGGCGGAGGGAATAACCCAGGGCTTCAGTGGGCTGCTTCCTGTGTTCAATTTGGTTTTGGAGGGGTGTTCCCCTGCCAACGAAAAGAGGGCCCCTGTGTTTTCATCACTGGGGTTTGGGATAAACCATGTGCCCGTACAGTTGGGCAGAAGTAGATTGCACGAATGGTGTAGTCAGACCCACAATTGTGCCATCTACTTTTTACCCTGATATACAACGTCGCTATACGGGTGTGTGTTGTTTCTTGTTTGCTTGGTACGTATCCTTTTCAGGCTGCTTGCCAACAGGAAAGTTCCATTTCCACTTTTGCGGGATATTTTGACTTCTTGCGGAGGTTTTAAATTTCCGCCTTTCTAGAGTACTTCTAAGGGTTGATTGCCCATTCTTTTCAACCATCGTTCTGCTCAAAAACTGGCCATTTTCCTGGGTTTCCGAAGGTTTTCTAGAAAGAAGGATCCCTGGAAAGAATGGGGAAGGTAGCACTAGAGTACTGTTCGAAAGGTGAAGCGCCCGGTCGATTACACGGGACGCCCATTGACAAAAACATCAGCCAGTTGCTCGCAAATGCGAAAGCCTCAAAAGCTAAGAATCCTTCGATACCTATTATAGTGGAAACCTGCAGCAAGGGGTCATTACTCCCCATGTTGCGCAAATCTAAGATACCAGCGGCACATTTAACAACAACCTTGTGTTTGCTGGGTATTTGGGGCTAGTTTGCAGACATTCCTGTATCTTTGCATCTGGTCTGAACCAAAAGGTTCGGAGCCCCCGAACCCCCCCCCCGAAGCCATTGGCCTTGCGAGGTGCGGCTGCCGCAGCCGCTGGAGGTGCCCAACCGCCGAAGCCTCGATGCGACGCGAAGCGTTTGATGTGCGTTGGGTTGGATGTGGTTTGATATAGTAAAACCTACTAATATGGGTGGATTGGACTACGAGGGGGGCCAAACCAGGAGCGATTCCCGGAGCATCAGGTGGCTGTTAATTTGTGAGAGGGTAGTTTGGGTTAGTTGGGGGTTCGTTTGGAGCCTCTGTTTTCTGTTTTTCGTCGTTTGGGGGGTTGCGATTTGGGCGGTTGGCGATTTGGTGCGGTTTGGGGTTGGAGCAGTCGGTCCGGTTTGCGTTTGGTGGTGGTGTGGGTGGTTTGGGGTGGGTTTTGGTTTCTGTATGGGGCGTCTATCAGGGTTTGGGTACTTGAGGTTTGGGATCAAGGTTCAGACATATCGATGGGCGAACTGCACTACATTGAAACCAGGAGCCATTGTGGAAGCATATATGACTCCAGGGTTTCGGTGGTGCGAACGGAGTTCGTCCATCCAAAGAATGGTCTCCAGTATCAAACACTTCCATTTGCTTTTTTTTGTTTTCACCTTGTTGGTTTTAAGAAGGAGTTTATCACTACTGGATGTGTTTGTTTTTTCTTTTCTCCAGGGGTCGAAAAACCAAATGGAAGAACGTGTTTTTTTCTCGGGGCAAAGCTGAGGTCCAGAGGTGGTTTCACTTCGCGCTTTTTGTTGGAATCAACTTTCGATATCAGGCTCACCCAGCCAGTGGACACACTTTACACTTTTTTCCCTGTTGGCTCTCCCTTTTTTGCTTGGCCCAGAAAGTGTACACTGTTTTTGGCTGGTCACTGGCCAGGTGAGCAGGCCTAGCGGCGGTTCTGCTCACGTTGTGGAATGATTCGACTTGGCCAATATGGGGATGTCTCTTTTTTTCGTTGGGTACCGCATGTGTGTGTGTGCTTTTAACGGGAAGGCAAAAGGAGCACCGCGCATTTGGGGGTCCAACCTAGACCCAAACAACGGACCATAGGGAGCCCTCTTGTGACCACCAGGTCAGCTTCCTGGCTTCCGGTTATGACCTGGATCCAGTTGTGGGAAACCCCTGTTTGAAGACACACCCATGTGTTTGCATGCATCCGTTTGCAAAGAAAATGGGTGCGATGTTCATTTCTCAATGATCCAAGTTGTCCACTGGCACTGGTTCCTTGTTTTGGTGGATGTTCCTGTCGCAGTCGTCTGCGCCACAGCAAATTGCGTCCCGTTGTCCCCAACCTCGGCAAGCGGCTAGCGGTTCATCGACACTTTGAGCATGGCTCAACATTGGGGCCCAACAGTTGTGACTGTTTTGGTTTCAAACCAATCCGGAGAGGGCAGTTTCCCGGCCCCGTTCTTTGAGCTCGTTGACTCGCACCAGATGCCCTGGTGCACGAGTCCGATTGCAACAGACCAGACAAGGAGAAGGAAAGGAAGACTTTGAACACATCAGCCAGAGCGAAGACATAAACAACGCAGGGGAGGTGGACGGTGGACAATGGTCATTTGGTATTGCAAAACATCGAAGTTCGAAGCACAGGTTAGTTGTTTTTCATTGGGCACCATGCTGTGCAAGCGAGCTCCGAGCGCTAAGGAGACCCGGACACTTGCATCTTGTCACAGCTTGTGACGCCGCCAGAGGCACGGCGCCTGGCAGGTTGTGTCATGCTCACATTCGGAGGTTTGGTCCTGTGAGCAATGATCAGTACGAGTCTGTCTTGTTTTGAGGCTCGGGGGGCCCTTTGTTGGTGGCTTTAAAAGTGAAACGGAAAGCCCCCCTTCTTTCTTTTTGGGAGGGGGTCGCTGACAAAAAGAGACACCTATCATGATTTCCTAATTTTCACCTAATAAGGGGAATGACATGCGCACACTTACCAAGTTACGGACTGGGAAATGGGGTCGACTCGCCAAAATCCGCGTGTCGGTTGGGGACACAAATTTATTCACCATGGCTCAAGCGGGGTTATTGGGTTGGCCACCATGAGGATTGCTGCGAAGGCACAATTCCCATAGCCCATAGCTGCAGGCAGCCGAGACCTCCGACCGCTGATTCCAGAAACTTTGAGTATCCCAGACACTCAGTGGTGCCCATTTGTCCCTTTTTTGAGGAGGTTAGAATCTACCAACCGAGCGCTTTGTTCCATGGCAGCTGGTATGTGTATTGCTGGGAAATTCGATTTCATGTTGTCTCCGACATGAACACGTTAGTTCAATGTGTGATTGACTGTATGAGCGCTCCGGGGGAGAGAACAGATCACGCGGTCACCGTGTAGATAAGTTCTGCAAACACGCGCTCGAGTTTGTTTGCACAAGGCAACCGAAAGGTTGGGGAGCCTACGATGTGCTGCCAAGACCAAGCAAACCTGTGCATGTAGCTACAACATGTGTGAACAAGTTTGTGAACAAGTTTGTTGGTGGTCATCCTGGGTATTTTGCGGATTAGTTTGTCAGTGTTCCACTCTGACAAATTTCAGTCTTTTTCATGTCCGGAAGTGTGTGGACTTTCTACCGGTGTCCCGTGTGTGTGTTTGCTTCTACCGGGCACCTTTAGCAGATTCAACTCTTGCAAGGTAGTGATGATTTCCCGGTGCAGAATCAACTGGAAACAGGGAATAGTCTGATTGGAGCCAACTGGAACTGGAAGGAACAATTAGCCGCCAACCAATTGACATGGAACTTGACAGGGGATCCCATTAAAAGGAAAATCTTCCAAACCAGGACCCCCCGAACGTCGAACGGTTCCATGTGCAAAGGGTGGGAGGGTATTTGGCCCAAGGCCGCCATGGGCTGAATTGGGGCATGAAACGCAGGGGCAGTTGATTGGGAGTCTACCCTCTCTCCTACTAACATACTTCCATTTGTTTAAGTGTTTCTTAATATTAACAAAAATCCCGTGTTGGCTTTAAAGGAAATCAAGTTCACTTCTGGACATAGTTTTTCTTTTTTTCCTGGGGGCGAAAACGCAAATGGAATATCAATTTGCTCCTGAAGGGACCCTCTGTGAGGTGCCATGCTAGTTGGAGGGAGGGTAGGCCCTTGCACGCATCATCTCGGCGATCGGTATCTCGCAGTGAGATGACAAGGCCAAGTACCCCCCCCCCCCTCCCCCCCACACAAAAAGCAAAAAAAGAAGCCCACACCCCCCCCCCCCTCACAAAAAGAAAGCCCAACCCGCCCCCCCCACCCCCAAACAAACAGCAAAGAAACAAAAATAAAAACGACGCCCTGACGTCGGGTTGCTTTTGAGATCAGCCTTTGGACTTGGTGCCTTTAGACAGTCGTCGATAAGATTCATCAGAGTGCAGGAATCTTGCGCCTAGACTGCAGCAAAGAACTCATGGCCTCAAGGTTAGCTGGTCTCGCCTTGTGTTTTTCGCCTGCGTGGCGACCTGGTTTACCATTCAGACCACGCCACTCTAAGACTTGAACTTGAAGACCCCGAAGAGGGGCCCCCCAAAGAGCCACCCGAACGGAACACTACTAATCCTTATGGGGATTGAGGGAGGCCCTATCGCTTTAAGCGCCTGGGATCCCGCTTGGTCAGCCAGTTGACCCTCACTCCCCACGTGGCACCTGACAGGACCCAAGAAAAGTTGAAGATGAGTTTGGTACCCTCCAGGTGTCTTCTGGTGGAAGGGTACCGGAAATGGTGGTTTCCCATGGCGCCGACTGACCCCCTCAGAATTTCCGCCGGTTCGGCCGATTCCTTCGGGTTCCAATCGCCCGTCCGGATTTTTTTCGCCGATGGCGTCACAAATGATGCAGGCCCCTTTCGTATGAGTCTCGGCCTTTTGCCCAAGTTACTCGTTCCTTTGGTGGCAATTTGAAGCCAATCAACAAAGGGTGTTCCCTCCCCCAAAAAATATATAACAATAAGCCCCGATGATATCCCCAACAGCCCCGGAAATTTCGGGAACCCTTCCTGAAAGCTGCCCCAAACAACCCCAGAGCCTATTTGGGCCTATCGACCCCATAGCTTCCAGCTGTTGGGGAAAAACAAAAACTGCAAGCAGTCTTGGGGGGTTGTCCACAACTTTTGGGCTGGCGTCAGTCTGCCTCCCTTGCGCCAGGATCGGGAAGAGGTGCGGGAAAGGCCTGGGCTTGACGTGTCCAGCGAAAGGGTTACACTATAAGGGCCTAATAAGGGGCAAAAACAGGAAACTAGGGCTGAACAGAAAGGGGCGAACATGTTTGGCTTCATTTGCATTGTTTTGGTTTAAATGTCCCCACAACCCTTGCTAGTTATCTTGGCAGTAGTACAGTATGCACTATATAGTGGACGAGCTGAAACCCACCAGCTGCGCAGCTGAATTGGCACCTGTGAACCAGCAGCCTTGGAGTTTTGAAGGCTACGCGTGGGCAAACCTTGATGAGGGTGAGCAGCTGCACAAATGGCCATTCCCAGTCAACATCCCAATCCCCACTAAAATAGACTAAAATGGGTGGTGCACCTACCCCAAAATGGGATCCCATTTGTTTTGACCCACAGCCAAATGTTTGTGGGTTTGTGTGCGAAAATAGGACAGCTCTGATTGCATATCAGGGGGGGGGGTGGACTAAATATAGCTAGCCAACAAAATATACCTCCCAACAACCAACAAAGATAGCCAACAACCGTTATTATTCTAAGTATGTAACTAACAATCAACAACCATTCTAAATATAAGGTATCAGACATACCTCCCAACCAAAATGAAACCTGACGGGTCGTTGGCTATTCTTGCGGAAGGCTCGCTCTCATGGGCTCCATGTGGACCACCTGGCTAAGTCTTTGCTCTTAGGCATCAAGTGGCGGATACCTTGGGGCATCCATAACCCCACTCCCTGAGTCCTGGACTTTAGTCACTTTTTCGGGTTGGACCATTTTAGTGGTCAAGCAGTTCGGCGACTCTTTTTACAATCGACTCAGGAAGCGAGTAACTAATTTTCAAATGCCCGACTTTGCGTGTGCCTTAAAATAGGGGAACACCCGAACCGATTCGTGTTTTACAGCGTGGGTTCCCTTTTCATAGCCCCCAAAAAACGGTATTTCTCCAAGAAAGACACACCCAGATGCGTGGTGCATTCAAGAGCCGTTCCTGTTTTTCTTACACTCTGGCTGGCTCCACAGTAGCAGACACATTCCTAGCATGCTTTGCTTGTGAAGAGATTCCAACCCGAATTCCATTTGGGTGTTTTCTGTTGCGGTACCCCTTTGAGGGTTGTTTTTGAGGTTTCCCGATTGAAGAGACCCCCATTGCTGAATCCCAGCCAACCAGACGGAAGGTCCTAGAGCTGATCAGAGAGACAGACGCGATCTTAGACAAGCCCAGGGAAACGACCCCCCAATGTAGCAGCCTGATTCCTATTTTGCCATCGTGCTTCTTCTAACGTGTAGCAATGGGTAGCACTATCAGGCACTATCACGCAATCGTAGCTCTTACCACCCTTTGCCGTCAGTTTTTGTCATGGCCCATCATGTCGCCAAAACATTAGTGTTATATATGTTATATATGTTATACATATATATATATATAGTATAGATGTATGCACATTATATATATATATGCACACACATTCGCTCGTTTGGACAAGCAGGAAAACATAAATGTGTCTTCCGGGCGAGGAGGGGCTTTTCGGGCGTGGGGCGTTTATGGGAGTGATCAGGTTCGGCTTCATTTGATTTCAGTCCACGAATGGAAGGGAGACCATGCAGACCATGGGGTGCCTTTGGTCGGGCGTCAACTATGTCACTCCATGACTGGAAGATCTTCATTGAGAGGTGTTTCCTTTTTGGTCAGCCGAAGCTTGGGGACATCTAGGAATAAAAAACTCCACCCCAAAGAATCCAACGACCTGCCCGCCATGGGCCCAATCGCTGGCAGACAATGGCAGTGGGCTCGGCCGCAAGTGGAGGGCCCGGACCCCAGACCCCGAGCCGCCAGCCGCGAGCCGATTGCGTTGGGTTGGACTCAGCTTGTGGGTTTCAACGGCGACACCGGCAGCTACCTGCAAGCCCTCATGTTTAGAGCAATCTGCTTTTTGGTGATTCGGGCGTTTTGGGCAGGTGAATTTGCAGGGGTGTACTCAATTTAACAATTCTGGCACCTGGGGATTTGCAAGACAAGGCTGCTTTTGGAAGCAGCCCCCATCCTGGAAAGAGGGTCGCCTTTTTGATGGGAGCTACCAAGAGTGCAATGGACTGAGGCCAGCTGAGGGCGCTACCATTCTAGGGGTTGATTCCCCATTCTTTTCAACCATCGTTCTTTTCAACCATCGTTCTTTTCAAAACCAGCTGTTTTGTGGGGTTCTGCTGGTTTCTGAAAAGAAATTCGGATCCCTGGAAACAATGGTTGGACGTAAAAGAGGGTCCCTGGAAAGAATGGAAATGGGCGTGTCCCCTAGAACCATGGCTGGAGCGGTCAAGACTGAGGGTGCCTCCACTTGCAACATGGGAACCGTCCAGGCCACAGCTTGGAGCAACAACACGCGTCAGAAGACGATCGACAGTGGCTACGGTGACTGGCCTGTTGCAGAGCAAGCCAACCTCCAAGCCATGGTTGGGCGTGTGGTTTTTTAAGGTCGCACCCCTCCAAAATGGGCAATTTGTTTTTTTGTGCCTTACACGGTTTCCGTTTACAGCAGGGGTATTCCCCTGTAAGGCCAACCTGCAAAAATTGGGCACCGAGGCTAAAGCGAAGGAGCCCATTTTCTCCTCGGGCGTCCCATCAGGCGAGGGCCCCTGCGCAAGAGGAGGGCACACAGCGACGCCGGGCCCTCGGGCGCTAGAGGCTTCGCCTCACTCGGACGTGAAAAGAGGAAACCACTTGGACTAGGTCCCCCAGCAATTGGTGCCCTTTCTAATCCCTTTGTTGGTTGGGAGATTCGGTTCCCCTAGTAAAATAGACGACAGAAAAAGTTGGTACCCTTATTCTAACCTCTCTGCTGGAGGACCATTTCGAGTCCCTTGTGATTGAAACACCCGTATGGAGGTGGTTCGGTTATTTTTGAGGTTGCCTCCAATTTGTTTGGTGGGGAAAAGGGGAAACCAAGACTTGGGCATGGGGAGGGGTGGAATTGAGCTGCTCCAATTCCATTTATCATTTACCTGATCTAGTATTCCCTACAAAAACAAATGAACCACTTCCTGTGGGTGTGGTTCCTTTTTAAGTCGGTAAACCCTCTTTTGGTGGTTTGAAAGGGAAACCAAGAGTAAAACCGAAACCATTTGAGAAGGTCCGATCCCCAACACATGACACACCCTCCTTCTTACTTGGGTTGATTAAAAGGTTCGATGAACATGGGACCATTGGTTGAAAGTTAAGATGTGTTCCACATTTCAGTCACATTTTGTGGTTGGACCATTTTGGTGGTACACGAAAAGCTTAGTTGCTTTCTTGGCCACTCAGGAAGTGAGCCTTTGTGACAAAAAAATGGTTGGGGCTCGCTTCGGCCGCGTGAAAGGAACTACCTTGCAGTACTTGGCAATTGAAATGTCCCTTGCATTTTTGTTGTGGTGTGTGTGGTGTGCGGGTGAGGTTGTTGTCACGGTATAGGGGGATTACAGTGTGGGGGATTTTGACCCCTACCCTCCCCTCAGCTATTCCATGGTTTGGTGCACAGACCGTAAAAAGATGACTTTCCTCTTGGTGAGTTGGCCATATGTGCACAAACCCATGTTAGTTGGTGGGAGGGTGCCGTTTGTTCTTGGCTTTAAATGGAAACCAGCCGGAAGACCACCATTTTAATTGGTGGAAGGGTAATCAAAAAAAATCGATGCCCATTTGGAGCTCGCGAGGCTGGTGGGCCCCACTGATCCCCAGAAGCCTTCTGCCTGGACCTCGAGGGTGATGAGCTGCCTTCAGGGGTAGATGGGTCGACTTGTTTTGGGGGGACCCCAAAACAGAGGGGTCTTTTTGCCACCTTTTGTGAGAAAGTTGGCGGCCCCCTCAAAAAGACATCCTTCACTACAAGAGGGGTCGATCATTTTTCCACCAAAGGTGGCAAAAAGACCCCCCTGCCCCAAAAGGGACTTCCAGTTTTCCTTTTGGTTGCCCTTGAAAACCAACCGAAGGGGGGAACCGGTACCCGCAATAAGAGACAGACCCATACGCCCCTTTGAAGCCGGTTTAACCTTTACTTGTTGGGAAATGTTCGGACGCCGCGCCACTCCAGACGAGGGAGTCGAAAAGGTAAGTCTGAGCGCTCGTCAGGCTCATGCTTAAAGAAAGCTTTCGACTTTGTGCACATCACTCACTGGCATGTTTGAATAAGGTTCCAACTGTGGGAAGTTGGCAAGTTTGGCCTTGGGCACACCCATTTGGCCAGGGTTATCAGTGGAAGACGAGATTAGCTTCTTTGTATGACAAGTGTTTGTACGTTGGTTCTGACGCTTTAAATTAACCTTTCTTGGGGGGCCGGGGGGGGCGGGGGGGGGGCAACGAGTTCTGCTCATGTTTTGATGTACGCCCGATGCTTCCCAGGTTGCTACATAGCAAATGTGGTTCTTATGGATTTTGGTACCCTTCTTCAGGTTGGCTTAAAGAGACACCAGAAGGAACACGGCTTCAGCTTCGAAGCAAGAAGAGGCGCCGCACACATTTGCAATTGGAAATCTGGTCGCTTTGGCCCATAAAAGTGGTTGATCCCTTTTGGGTTGACACTGGGGGTCCAGCCTTGCCGCCTTTCCACGAAAGCCAATTTGGGAAGCCACCAAATTGGAATTGGGGATATAAACTTGCGGGAAAAAACTCAAAATCCCGGTTGGCAAGGGCTTTTAGTTTGCGTCGAATTCCCGCACCAATTTTTGACCAAATGGCCCTCTGCAATTTGCTGCTCGTGTTTATGGCTGCTCGTGTTGTGTTCGGCAGTGCGAGTCAAGCCTGCATCTTCAAGGAATATTTGACTATGTTTAGGGAGTTTGTGGGTCCAAATGAGATTGTATTTGTTTGAGGGACCCTTTTTTGCAACTTGTTGGGTTCCCTTGTTTTGACACAAACTGAATGGGGTCCCTGGTAGGTAAAGAGGAAGTGCTGTGTTTCTCAAGTGGGTACCTTAACCGTTGGGAACATGAGTCGATGAGTGCTTTGGGTTTCAGGCGCGGATTATCATCTTCGGCGGCCACTATGACGGTGGGTCCAACGTCCGGATTCCAAGACTTGATCGCGGTGCTTGGCGTGTTCTGTAAGCTGAGTTCTGTTCCACGACATCCTGGCAAGCCATAAGTTGCAGCAGGCAACCAGTTGGCTGTGTGTCAAAAATATGTACCCAAAATGGAACCCTGGTAAATGGAAACTTGGACTACAACTTGCGGTCCCCTGGTGGTTTAATTTTGACCCACACCCAGCTGGTGTTTGGCCCTTGGGTTTCGCTTCGGACTTGTTTTTCGTCCTGCTCACCTCCGATAGTTTGCATGTCTTGTGACCAGGGAGACTAATCCAAGCAGCATGGAAGCTCCAGTCACCCGAAATGAAGCGGGAAGCGTGCAGCATGTGGCTCACGACTGGGTTTTTCCCCTTTCCCAGGTGCGACATGTTGCATGCGCCAATGTGCTGTTGGAGAATCATGGCGATTGGATGTGGGTCTCGCAATTTGAGGGTTGCAGGGTTGCAAGGTTGGTTGCACAAATTGTTTCAATAAGAACCCCCTAGTTCCCTTTGAAGGGATATCAACATGATGCGTTTAACAATGGTGGTTGAACGTCCGAGTTGAGCTCAACCTGACAACTGATTAGATGGGTGGGTCGCACGCCCTGAGACTGATTCTTTGGGGGTCCGGGGTGCTTTGGACTTGCAAATACGATCCTTATATACTTGACAGTTCCAGCCGTCCCCTTGGCTTTTTAGCTGAGTCTTAGTTGGAGTGGGGATATCCACTTGTCCCACTAAGAGATAGACGTAAACAGCAATGGATCCGAGGACAGCCCAGAGAAAGACTTGAAAACTCTAATGTACCAAGCAGACCTTTCACCTTTTGACCCCCTTTCGGATTGACAGGGTATCCACCGCAAATTTCACTGGTCAAGAGATTTTGGGGTCATCCCATCCGCCTCTCTAAGTTCCCTGCAGGAATCGAAAAAACAAAAAACATCTGGCAGATCTAAGCAGAAGGAAACTGGGGCACAGAGCAGAAGGAAACTCATTCTTCAAAATGTGGGTTAGGCTCAGAATGAATTTTCCATGGACCGCAGGTTTTAGTCATTGTTGTCCTTGTTTGTTGTGTTGGTCCAACCTAGAAAGCATGCCACACCCATGGAGTTGTTTGTTGAGGTGGGCTTCGTGTACCTCAACGACACCCATGTCTTAGACATTGACGAGAACATTTGGACGGTCCCGCTGGGGCCTGAGATTTGATTCTGCTTCAGGTTTGAAATTTGGGACTTTGGAGGCGACTTTGTCTGAAAAATGGAAAACAATTGGGGGAGGAGGTGACCCCTGGAGATCCCTGAGCCACTTTCCCTTTCATGGCGATTTGGGTATGGGTCAAAACCAGTGGTACCATTTTGGGGTAGGTGCACCACCCAGTTTAGTCTATTTTAGTGGGGATTGGGATGTTCACTGGGGGTACGGGAGTTTGACCCGTGGCCATTTGTTAACGGATGTTTGGACTTCACCTTTGTGGGAAGTGTTTTTTTTCCACTGGCCGGCCTGGGCATCCTTTTGGCCAAAGGATGCCCAGGTCCCAGTAGCCCAAAACATGCCCAAAACGGGTTCTATGAACCTCTTCCATTCGCTGAAAGGAATATTTTGTTAATTTTCCCGTGTTGGTTTTAAAAGGATTTTATCACTACTGGAAATATGTTTTTATTTTTCCAGGGGTCTTAACCAAATGGAAGACCGGGTTCGGATCGCTTTCTTGGATCTTAAGAGAGTCTGATGTAGCATGGTTGCTCGTAGACGAGGAAAAAAAAAAAGGGACCTGTTCCGATCGCTAAGGACAACGCATCCGAAGGACCTGCCCTTTTCCAGGTCCTTTGGGCAAGAGAGCAATAGAAGAACCTAGGTACCTGAGGGTTTTTGGAATTGGACCAAAATGGATTTGGTCCTTGGTTTCTCTTTACCCGCCCAAAAAGCTTGCTGCTGCTCAGAACAAAAAGACCTTGTTTTTCTCGGTTCCAACTCATCCCCTGAGAACCAGCAAGGAAGAAGTCTAGCCAACCAACCCCAGATTCCCTTAGGGACAAGATAAAGCATCTGGGGCAATTTGTATAACTTGCATTATAAAATGTTCGTCGTCTTTTAAATCATCACTGACAAATTGTATAGCAATAGAGTTGGATTTAATCGCTTTTAGCAAGGTGGTTTTATTACCTCGAAAAGCGTTCCCTGCAAAATTTAAAGCTGCACCATTTTTTAAGATAGCTATTTCTACGATTTCTTCTGCGTCTTGTTTCTCTTCTGTAGATAAGTCGTCCCACATGAAGCCTTGTAATTTTATTTCTGCAAACTGTAGGGAAAGCGGATCTTGTCCGAGTCTTTACCACCAAAGAAAAAGGATCCCCCGCCCAAACAAAGTAGAGAAAACCTGTCCAAGTCTTTACCAAAAGAACCAAAACAAACAAACAAAAACAATCATAAAAACAAGCGCTAAAAAACAATGAAAGAAACAAACAAGCAAAAACAACTTTCCATCAAAACAAGCAACAACAAAAGCAAGCAACGAGTAAAACACAATCAACATAAACAAACTGTCCATCAAAACAAGCAAAAACAATAACAAACAAACACTAAAACAAAGAACCACTAACAAAAACAATCACGGCGTCGCCGAGCCGAGCCTCGAGGCGCTGCCGGGGCACCGCGCCGGAGCCCCGCTACGGGCACGCGGCGGCGCTGGTGGGGAGCCGAGTGGCGCGGGGCCCGGAGAAAGTTGGGGGGCCTGGGCTGGAAATTTCTGTGGACTCGGATCATCTACATGGTGAGGGGGTGGAAAAATTGTGGTTGGCCTGGGGTGGAAATTGTGGTTGTTGTTGTTGGGAAACATTTGTTTTTACGATTTTTTGCTTATTGTGGTTTAGTGGTTGACATCCCCACTCAACTGCCCCAAGTTCGGAAAACATGGTTGCTGGGAAACATACACATGTCCATTTTGCTCGGTCCTGCTGAGCCATTCTTCAAATGCTGGCTTCTTTACTAGCTGCTGGTTAGAGGAGAGCTGTTACGGAGCGGACAGGGTTGTTGTTGGGAAACATTGTTACCATTTTTGCTTATTGTGGTTTAGTGGGACATCCCCACTCAACTGCCCCAAGTTCGGAAAACATGGTTGCTGGGAAACATACACACTTCCATTTTGCTCGGTCCTGCTGAGCCATTCTTCAAATGGTGGCTTCTTTACTAGCTGCTGGTTAGAGGAGAGCTGTTACGGAGCGGACAGGGTTGTTGTTGGCAAACATTTTACATCTTTGCTTATTGTGGTTTAGTGGTTGAAATCCAAATCCACTGAACTTCTAAAATTCAAATTGTTGCTCCCCTTCCAACGTCAACCAAGTGGGGTGACGGAAATTTTGTGGATTCGGATCTTCTTGCTGGTGCGATAGGCAGGGATTCAATGGGAATGACCCAGATAGAAAACTGTCCCCTTGCGCTTGCTGGAAGGGCATTTATTCTAGGTCATGCCCTACTGAGCACCAGCAAATCATTTCAAGGTGAGGTAACCTGGGTGTCTGATTCTTTTTTTGACCCACCACTCACTCCCTGAGTTCCTGGACTTTAGTTTTGTTCTGCGAAGACCATTTGAGTGGTACATAGAAAGTTCGGCCTTTGTGTTGGCCCATCCACTCATGAAGAGAGAAATGGTGAACATCATGGGGATGAAAAGCTCCACCAACAACTTGAGGGGGTTCCCCATTCAAATGCATAGCCACATGTCAAGGGAAGATTTCCCCCACGTGTCCTTCCAGTCTTTTTCAAGTTCACTAAATGCGGACCGGAATAAACACGTTTGTTTGGTCGAGGGGGCACAGGGATTTCCCACCCACTAAAGTATGTTATGCCTTAAACAACTTATCCACCCCGCGAACATGGTGCCACAATCTGATTTGAAGGTAAACACATGCTTCAGCTATCCATCTCCCTTTAGGTTTCTTTCTAGACCACAGAAGGGTTGTCTAGCCCAGACAGCCCGTAGTGGAGTTAAGCTGGCTCTAGGATGGACATCGTTTAGGATGTATTAAGCAAAACAATCTCCTGCAGATTAACACAGCCAAAACGACCGCATCGTGGGGTTCCAAAGTAGTTTCCCTTTAGAACAAGCCTTTGGCATCCCTTGAATAGAAGATTGCGTCTACCATCACGTTTTGATGAAGCCATGAACATGACCCGCAGGCTTTGACCGCATGGTGGAGGTTTTGGCCGGATATACGCCCATAGTCGGCTAGAACGGACACGTTTTGTTCAATAAGTTGTGGTACAACCTCTAGCCATACTACATCGTACTACGCTATTATGTTGCATTCTATTCTATTCCGATATTGTGTTTATTCATTTATCTGCTTGCAGGCTGTACAAATATATGGGCAAGGGTCAAAATAGAACCACCAGGGGACCGCATATTTTAGTCCATGTTTCCATTTACCAGGGTTCCATTTTGGTCACCAATTTTTGACCCACGGCCACATACATATATATATATATATATGTTATATATATCCAGATCTGCCAGGCCCTCCCCTCCCCCTCCTCTGCGTATGTGAGGTGTACTTTGGCGGCAAGGGCAAGACTGGGTGTTTTCGGGATCTCCATGCGCTGGACACTAGCAATCACACCTGGCCCGGCTCTCGGCTTCAGGGTGTCGGAGTGTACGACGGGTGTTGGACTGTTCCAAGTTGCTTCGCTTTACATACCACACCGTTTTCCTTTTGGTTTCCCTCCAAAACCTCTCAAGAGTACCAACTCCAACACCCATATTTGTTCATATTTGGGTATGGGTCAAAAATGAACCACCAGGATATGGACCGCAGGTTGTAGTCCAAGCTTCCATTTACCAGGGTTCCGTTTTGGGTACATTTTTTTGACCCACAGCCATATGGGGATGTCTTGTTTTTATTATTATGCATAGCCTTTTTGATAGCCTTTCTGGGGTGGTTGTAAAAGGACACCACAAGGAAACCACTGCTGCGGTTTGCGGATCTCAGCCCGGGCATGCAAGCCAAAGGCTCCTCTCAAAGTTTGCCGAAAGTCCCGGTGAGAAGTCCGGAGTACCCTCTCTCCCACTAACGTGGCACCTGACAGGGGGTCCCTCCAAGAGGAAGTTGATCTTCCAGGTACCCTCCCTCAGGTGCCATGTTAGCGGGAGGAAGGGTAACAGAAACTGGTTTGGCTCTTCTGGATGCAGGGAGGTTCTATGCTTTTCCACTTGGGTGTTCGGTGAAGTTAGTGAGTGGTTAGTAGCCTAGGTTGTAACCTATTTATTGTCGTCCCAGTGCAGGTAGCCTGGAAATAGGTTATAACCCAGGCCGACCACTAGTAACTTGGCGAATCGATCATCCAAGTAGCCAGGAGAAAGTCCCAGGAAAGGGTCTTTTAAAGCTTACGGTTGCAAGTAGGCCACCCAGAAGACTTGCGGGGATTTACAGTTTGTTCCATGCGGTGTTGAATGTGTTTGTATATTTCTAGGGGACAGTTCCCCATTCTTTCCAGGGATCCTTCTTTCCAGAAAACCATCAGAACCCCAGGGGAAACAGCAGGTTTTCGAAAAGAACGCTGGTTGAAAAGAATGCGGAATGGACCCCAAGAATCTTCGCAATGTTCTGGGAATCGCCTCAACTCAAAGCTTCGACCAGCTCAGTGGAGCGCTCCAATGAACATGGCTGCCTGTCTCCAAGACACGAGGAGCCGCACGCTTTTGAACCTGTGAGCGTTCTCGAGAAAGGCAAAGAGTGGAGCAAACCAAACAAGCGATCCACCCTGCTCGAATTTTTCAGACGCCCTCTTCGGGAGTTCAGGTGTGTCCCTAGTTGTGTCTCGGTGTTTATTTTTGGTCTTTGTGCCTGTTTGTGCCTCTATGTAGGTGTTTGGCTGGCATCCGACAGCGGTCGAATTGCGACTCTTTTGAGTCGCAATGACGATACTGATGCTGAGCGGTACTTTTATCGAACTGACAGCCTGTGAGGCGCTGAAATTGTTGTTGGCTGCACTGGCGAAGAAAATTCCGCTGCGACCACCTGGTTCACAAGAAGGGCTTCGTACGGCCAGCTGGAGTTCGGTGACCGCAGCCGAAAGGGAAGTCGTGCACTTGGAGAGCTGGGGAGGAGAAGTGATGCAAGGGAGCACAACCTGGAGTACCTCAAGAAACATGCGACCCTACTTATTGGCTTATGCATGCGAGTCATTTGTTTCTAAAGGATGGGGTTTGTGGTAAAAGACATGCTACACTACTTACTGTATCGGCTTATGCATGCGAGTCATCTGTTTCTAAAACACATGCTACACTACTTACTGTATCGGCTTATGCATGCGATCTGTTTCTAAAGGATGGGTTTCTGGTTGACCAAATGGGCTCACCCCGGCATCGGCGTCCTTGTCCCCCCTCTATAAGTCTCACTTGGGCGTGGGTTTTTCGGCGTCCAGGCCAGCGAGTCGACCGCAAAGGATCACATCTGGAACCCGTTCTGTTTGAGTTATGGCTAAGGTGACCCCAGCGAGTCGACCCCTGAGGAGTGAGCTATGTGAATGGCAAGTAACTACCTGAAGGATCCAATGATGTTCTTTTTCATATGGATCCATGTTTTGTTGGTCAATCCATTTTTTTTTGGTTTGACATCGTTTTTGGGGTCCCCCAGTAGTGCCCTTCTCTACCGTTTCTTTTTTGGGGGGAGGGTTCCCCTACTAAAATCGACTACAGTAAACAAGTTGGTACCAACTTATTCTAACCTCTCAAATCTGGAGGACCTAGGTAATTAAGGATCTCCTAAATTCCGGCTGGGCGGATTGCTATTTCTCCGATTCACATTTATAAGGTCTTATGAAGGTGAGGCCACCCTTTGGTGTTGGTTTCAAAATCTCCGTTGCAAATCCCTGTGCCTCCTGTTTGTTCATTGGTTCTTTTCGGCTTTCCCTTTCGGTTCTCTTTGGTGTCCATGGCCTCCTTGTGGTTTTCCTTGTCATTTGCAGTATTTCCCTTTTGCCTTCTGTTGGTTTTCCTTGTGTCTATGGTTTCCATTTCGTTTTTACCAGGGCCCCCCAATAGCTGCCAAATGGCCCATGAACCAAAGCAGGTCACTTGACACTCGACAGCTGCCTACTACCAATTGTTTTCCCTTTGGTTTGCTCCTGTTACCATTTCATACCCGTTGGTTTCCCTTTAGTGTTTCTTTCGTGTTTTTTTTCTCCAAAAGTTCCTATCCCCGTGGTTTTCCTTTGGTTCTCCCTGTGCCTATGGTTTCCATTTCATTCTTGCCAGGGCATCCCAATAGCTGGCAAATAACCCATGGCCCAAAGGAGGTCCTTGTGCCTATGGTTTCCTTGTCCGTGTCTCTCTCTTTGATTTTTTAACCCATCCGAAGCGAACTGCGCGCAGCGCGAGGTTCCAGGGGCCCAGCTCGGGCGGAGCGCCTTCGGCCCGCCACGGCGCGGGACTTCGAGAGTGGGACACTTCTAGGTTTTGCAGCTAGGTGCCCTTTTTAACCCCTTTTGATTGACCCAGGTTTTCGGCGACATGGCCCTTAGGTGAGCCTTTGCCAAGTTTTGCCACCCAGTTTGGGCGGGCTTTTACCAAGTTGTTCCGCCCAGTTTTGGCGATGTGGTTTATAAAACGGGTCTCCTTTTGGTTGAATCGGAGTTGTAGTGCCCTTCTCTACCCTTTTTTTTCCGTTTTTTCGGGGAGGGTTCCCCTACTAAAATAGACTACAGAAACAAAGAGTGTACCCTTATTCTAACCTCTCTACTGGAGGACCTAGACTTGGTGGAAGATGCACAGAAAAGGGATTTCCTGCCAGTCCTTAAAGTGTCAGAACCAAGTCCAAGCATGTTTGGTTTGCCGTGTTTGGCTTCCCTACTTAAAGTACTTAAGAGGTTAGTAAGCCTGGTTATAGCCCAAGGCTCCGTTCAGTGGGTTTTCACCAGGCTTGGCCACTTACGGAGTAACCCCCCCCAACTTGCCATGTCCAAAGCCCCAAGTCCCTAAAAGCAGTGCTTGGGGGGGCGGTGGAATATTTGACCTTTGGATGTTTTGTGAAGCGTCAACTTTTGGGGTAGGTAACTTTCCTCGAGGGAAACACAGTTGGAACCTTTGCAGCTGGCGGAATTTATGAACATCTTCGTGGTAAGGTTGGGTCCTTTTTTGGATGTGAGAAAAGGGCAGCCTCCCGAAAGTCAAGTGCCCCAAAGGATCAACCAAAAGATGACAAAGCAAGCCCAGACTGGGGACAGGGGAGATTCGGTTGTTCCTGCTTGGTTTTCGGACAGGTGTGGGACCGCTTTTGGGAGTTCAAGGAGAGCCGAAAGGAAAGGATGTTGCAACCTGTTGCAAGGGGTCCTGGTTTTGAACACCGCCGGTTCCTTTTGCTATGGGTCCTGTTTGTCCCTTCATGTTCTCCTTGTTCATCTTTGATTTTCTCGCTTTGAGGCTACCCCAGCACAAGACTCAAGTTTCTCAATGGCCATGATGGTTAAATCGATCCTCAGTGTCTACTGGGCCGTGGCGAAGACGATGACCGAGTACCTCCGTTTTGCAGTTGCCGTTGGCAGGTGCTTCTGAACGCTCAGGGTAGGGCCAGGATGTGGTCCATCAGTTCCTGGGAGACCTTGGACAAGTCTTGCTTTGGCGCAACGGGCGGTTTTGTCGCTTTGGCGCAACGCCTCGCGTTGGCCGAAACCTCGCGGATCCGCAACCGTTGACTGGGAGCCGAAAGCTTCTGGCGTGGACTGAGCGCAGAAGGCGCAGATTTCCCTCTCGAGTTGGCTCAAACTGGCTGGCGGAGTTTTGGCTTCAGGTTTGAAGCTTGCTTGAGCTCGTTTCAAGCTTATGACCCATGAAAAGTCCAGACCCAGATATCCTTTGCAGATCATTTTGCGTGGCAGGCTCAGATCACGTTTCAACATAAAACATGCGATGCAGGTGGTGAGAGGAAATGATGTGCTGGACCGCCATGTAAGGGGAAATATACGAGTACCGTCTTTCATTTGGTGTGGTGTTTAAAGGGCCACCAAGAGGAAGTCAACCAGCTATACATGGGGGAAGGGGAAAATAGGGAGGGTTTTTTGGGCTCCCTCCCCATGCCTCCGCCCCCTATTGGAGGCCTTGTTTTGGTTTCCTTGGTCGCAAAGGCTCCCCCCCAGCCTCCTTGCGACCTCAAAAAAAGGACACCTGTCTGTTTCCCGAAAGGCATGTAGGCTACTGTAGGGTTCCATGACCATTTTCTGGACCAAAAGAATCCCCCTGTGGAGTGAGAAGTAGTCATGGAGACTCTTTGGTATGGCAAAGGTCGAGTTTCCAGAAAGGCAACCAGCCGTTCATAGCCTCGAACCTGGTAAGGGGTCTTGGAAATGGTTCAATACCTTCCCTCCGTGAAGCTGATGATCAAAGGGTTTTGCATGGTTGTCGTTGGGAAACATGTTTCCCATTTTTGCTTATTGTGGTTTAGTGGTTGAAATCCAACCTCCTAACTGATATTTTTCAACTTTTGCTCCCCTTCCAACGTCAACCAAGTTTGGAAGACGACTTTCCTTTGGGAAGCCTCCCAGCTTTAGACAGGATGGAATTCTTAAGCGCCAACCTGGCCCGCAACACCACACTCCTTTGCGTCCTATTGAGGGGGCGAGTTGTTCAACCTGGGGCGTTTTTGGTCGGGCATTGAAATGGGGGGGGGGGCTTGGAAGATGTGATTTGGGGAATAGAAAGGAATCCAACCTGGTTTTTGGGGGTCCTCAAGGAATTCATATCCGAATGGGTCTCCCAATCGTTCCTTCATGCGTGCGCAGAAGGGCTTCCTTTACTTGCGGGAACCAATCAAGGTTTGGCCAAGCACGTCACTTCTCATAACAGCCTCCCGCAGGGGCTTTCCTTGAACAACAAGTTACCCGTGGACTCTTCAGACCCTTGCTCCCGTTTCAGCTTCTGTTTTGGGCTTCAGTCAAAGCAACAAGCTCCAACCATGGCGCCCCATCCTAGCGACCCCCGAACAAGTCGTGTTTTTTTCCAAAAAGGACACCATGTTTTGTACTTTGGTGCATTTTGCTTGGATGTTAGGACTTTAACTTTTTGCCAACAAATGTTTTTTCCCATTAAAGCACTAAAAGTTAAACTTTTTGCAGGGGAGCAGAAAGCAACCGAGTGTATAAACGGACACCAAACAAATGGAAGAATGGCATGGCTCACAACTTGGCTTGTGTGACCGATTTTCTATTTAGTGAATGGCTTTTCCACGCCACTTTATTCAGGTTAGCCTTATTTTGTGGTTTGGATTGATGGCTTGGGGATTTGAACCCCTGGTTCTTACCCTGAATTGGTGGTTTGGATTCGTGGCTTTGGGATTTGCACCCCTGGTACTTGTCGAGGGTATTTGGGGTTTGCCCTTCCAAAAAACCACCAAGCCGTTTGGATTGGTGGTTTGGATTTGGATTTGACCCCCTTCTTGTAGAGGGTAGATGGGGTTCCCCTCCCAAACTTCACCAAACCACAAATTCAACTTTAAAAAACCGCCAATTGGCAGAGAGCTGATTTGGCTGTGGGTCCAAACCAATGGTACCATTTTGGGGTAGGTGCACCACCCATTTTAGTCTATTGTAGTTGGGATTGGGATATTCTCTCGGGGTACGATTTGGATTTTGACCCATGGCCATTGTTCGCGTTGCCTTTTTCGGTTGGTCTTAAAGGGGAAGCCACCGGTAATCGCCGTTGCGCCATCTTCGGGCTTTTCCAACCAGCCTTAAGCGAGCCGACGGGCCGGGCGTGCCGGCGGCAGGGCACACGGCCAACCTGCACGGTACTCGGCTCTACGTCTTCGGGGGCACCTGCAGCGGCAAGTGCCACCCTCGGATCGAAGCTCCGAAGGTGGCAGCGGTGCGGGGGGCAGGGGGGGGTGTTGGTTGGTATTGCAGGTGTTGGTTGGTATTGCCTCTGAAGGGGTGTTGGTTCTGTTTGAGTTATGGCTAAGGTGATCCCCACCCAGCGGAAGGTTGAGGAGTGAACTATGTGAATGGTAAGTAACTAGGTCCCCCAGCAATTGGTGCAACCTTTCTCGATCAACTTTTTTGGTTGGGAGATTCGGTTCCCCTACTGAAATAGACTACAGAAAAAGGGGTACCCTTATTCTAAGCTCTCTACTGGAGGACCTAGTATGGATTTTCAGGGTGCTTGAACGAAGAAGATATATGTATAAATATATATTTGTATGGGAATGTCTTTTTGCAGGGGACCCCCCCCCCACCCGCCCAAAACAACATGAAACAAACAAACAAGTGAGGTGGTATATATATATATTAGATGTGGTTGTTGCTTCAAGCGTTTGAGCCGTTTCGGTTTTGTTCATTTTTAGTGAAGCTTCAAAAAGCACAGTTTGTTGCTGCCATGCCAAGGTTGGGGAGTTTGCACGGAGTCTTCAGAACAGGGGTCGATTCCTATAATTTCACTTGTTGGTTTGAACCATCCCTTGGCTCACGTTTGGTGAGTTCCCTGGGTGATGTTAGGTTGGACATGTAGGGAATCCAGTTCTAACTCCAGCCCAAAGGTTCTTACCCAGAGGGTTTCACAGCTAGCACAAACCACGCATGGGATCCCGAAGCCTGATATTCGACCAAGTCACTCGGAACCGAACGACCGGTCGAGAAAGTTGTTGGCCGTTTGAAAGGCCCCTTCTGGGCAATCAAGGGCCCTCTTGAAGTAGAATTCTCTCTTTAAGATGCTTCCTGAGGGGCCAAAACGTCGCAGATTGCAACGATGCCGCTGAAGGGGGTGGCGACGTCACCCTGCTAGCTTGGCAAATCGATCCATCAAGTACAGGGGCTGCCATTTAATTTGAGTGGCAAACAACAAGTTACTTGTTATTTGCCACTCAAAACTCGATGGTGCGCTTCGCCAAGTCCAGTTGTTGTTTCTTTTCTTTTTCGATTCGCCAGGTCCAGGTTTGCTTTTTTTTTTTGGGGGGGGGGGGCATGGTTAAGGCCATGCTCTTTTTTTTGTTTTTTTTTTCGGCGCCGCTGGATCGGAAGTGGAGGTACTTCGGGGACCTTCACTGCCGGAGCCCCGACCCGGATCGCCTCGGAAGGCCAAACCGTTTGTTTTTTTTGGGTATCGGTGGAGATTTGGCGGTGGTGGTCCAAACCGTTTTGGGATCCCATTTTGGTGGGTAGGTGAATTCACCACCCATTTTAGAACCTAATTTTAGTTGGGATTGGGATGTTCACTAGGGGTACGATTTGGATCTTGACCCGTGGCCATTTGATTCCAACTTCACGGGTCCATTGCTACAAGCTCGCCGACTTGGGGGAACGAGCGAAAGCCATATTTTACAAGGTCCTCTCGGGATCCAGTTCTTAGTGATCAAAAGGTCCGATGAAGATGACGATTGGGGGAAACCACCAGAAAGATGAGATTTTGCACTGAATGGGAAAGTTACCATAGCTCATTGCGGGGCCTCTAGCGGAATATTGATCAACCCCCAACTTCACCTAAAACACATCGAATTGGACTCCTAGCTGGGAGCTGTGCCGGAAGGGAGGGGTCGCGAAGCCTGGTTCTGGCACGGCCAAGCTCTACTACAAGGGTCCTGCGACCGCCGAGATTCGCGAGATTCACGGGCTTTCCCAAAGGACTCGTTCTGGAAACAAGGGTTTATTCTAAATCGGCCTCACTCCCTGAGTTCCTGGACTTTCTACCTGGGAGAGACCATTTGAGTGGCAAGCAACAGTTTGGAATCTCTGTTCGCCATCTCAAAGTGAGTGGCAGCATTCCTCCAACAAACAAGGGCGCCTCCAGAGGCCAAAGTGTTCGACCAATTTTCTTGGGGCGGTTTCGTTGCCTCCAGCTCCCCCGCCACCAAGTTTTGTTGGACATAGATCTAGTTCCGGAAGAGTGATGCGCAGTGCCCTGATGTCCTCCCAATTTGAATCACCCTGTGAAAAAACTCGCCACCAGCTGTCAAGTTCCCCAAAGAAATAAGCCATGCAATTTGTGCGGTTGGGCTCACTCAGAGAAGTTCCAGGACTCTAGATACTTGGGTTTAGACCATCTTAGAGGCGAATAACTGCCAACCCTTGATTGCTCTTGGGTGGGATCTTTAGACTTCCACTTTTTGGGCAAATCAAGCAGTTTTCCGTATTGCACCCACAAAAAGTACATGTGTTTTCACTTTTTTGTATTTTTTTGCAGAGGGGTCGTTGCAGCAACCAAGTTGAACCAGTGGATGCTGCAGCCCTCCCCGCGGAATTCGAGGTTTGGACCTTGCGTCTATGGCCTGGTCCTGCCCGCCGGCGACAGGTGCGGTTTTTCCGGGCCTTGTTCAGGGATTCCCGAAGTGAAGCGAAAGCCACGTGCTCAAAACCGATTCAGGGATTGATGATCCGGTTAGTAAGGGGCAGTCCCAGCCAAGTTGCGGATATCCGCCTTCTGAATTCTTGAAAAACGCTGGTTCTGGGATGCGCAAAACCCGGGTAGATGAAAGTTAAGGGGCAGTCCCAGCCAACGGATATCCGGCTTCTGCATTCTTGAGGCATGGGATTACGACCATTTTAGTAACGGATTTTGAGCAAGTGACTCAGACCGAACCTGAGCTTTTGGGTTTTTTCTTTTGGCAGCAAAATGGTTTGTCGAGGTGCCAAAAGGTGATCTCAACTTTAAATAAAAAAGGTCCCTAAGGGGCAAGTGAGTAGCATTTTTGCTATGGTGGTTGGGATCGAGTTTAAAGGGGTTGCACAACATCTCACTTCCTGAGTTCATGGACTTTAGTCACTTGTTGGGAAGACGGACCATTTTAAAGGCGCTCAGAAGCTTTGTTACGTTCTTGTGCTGTCCACTTGGGAAGTGAAGAAACCGCCCATCTTTTGAGGATATCCTTTGGTTGGTTTTAAAGGAAGTCACAAGGGAAGGCGGTGTCCCCCGATTTTTGGACACATCCCTATTTAGACCTATGGTAATTTGGGCAAACAGTTCAATGGTCGTCGGGTACTGTGAATGGACAATTCCTAGGTTTGCCGCCCTTTTACCGTTCCCCTACTAAAAAAGACTACAGAAAAAAGGGTACCCTTATTCTAACCTCTCTACTGGGGAACCTACATTCTGATCCCTGGGTTTTGACTTGCCAAGGCTTTCATCCCAGCTTCATCCCAGCAGCTTCCCGTTTACCTGGGAATCGGGGAACATGAGCCTCATGAACCATCCCTGGTTGACTGCGTTCCCCAAGAACCAACAAAATTGTTTCCACAGCACTTCAAAGTCAAGGCCATTCAACAGAAAGGATGCCTTACTTTCCCAAAGCGAAAAGCCGACCTTTTCACCTTTTGACGTTTTCCCATGTTGGGTTTCTATGTTTTGTGGTCATGGCAACCTTCAAACGGTGATCACCGAATCTCACCTTTTCGCCTTTCTGGGCCCCAAGTGAGGGAGTAAGAACTGAGCTGCCGACTTGCGTTTTGACCAAGGGACCCCCCAAAATGGCAGGCTTTAGTTATTCCTCTTGGTGTCCATGGCAAACAGCAAATTCAGGGACTCCAAAGGATCCTTATATCCAAGTCATTCCCTGAGAAGCCGCAAGCAACCTGGGTATGTCGTATGAGGGTACTTGTGTTTGCTTGGCGTTTTTAAAGGGACACCGAAAGGAACACCACTATTTTACGGTGGTCCGATTTCTACAAAGAGACGAGCCACCATACATGGTTGTTGTTGGGAAACATTTTTCCAATTTTTGCTTATTGTGGTTTAGTGGTTTGAATCCAAATCCACTGAACTGCTAAAATTTGAGAATTGTTTGCTCCCCGAACCCAACGTCAACCAAGGAAAGGTGCCGATCTTTCGGATACTGTTGGATGTGTCCAATGGTTTAGCTCGAAAAGGTTATGTCTGTGGTCAAGAGGGCGCGTAGGAATGGTCAACCCTTGAGGCAACCCTTGATAGATCCACCGCCAATGGTAGGTCCGAAGCCAACCCCTCGCTGCGGCCACACCGCGCTGCTCATCGGAGAGCCGAAGACCCGGGGGCGAGAACCGAGACGTGGAGCCGAGACGGTCCGGTGTTTGGACTGTCACTTTCGGGGGTTGGGCCATTTTGGATTTGCAAAAAGTTTGGACTTGTTCTGGTCAACTCACTCAAGCCAGATTTTCCGGCGGAAGTGGCTTCAATACGTGGATCCCTCCGGCTGGTCGGTTGAAACCTGCCTGGCTGTTCCCTCCGGCTGGTCTTTTCTTTGGATCCTGAATTTAAGACCCTTGGCCAATTGGATCTTTCGAAATCGTGCCATGTTCTTTGTTTTTCCCCAGGCTTCGTGAAAAGAATGGTCTACTCAATTTAGATGATGAAACTCATGCTTAAAAAAAGGTGTTGTCCCACCCTGCTGTTTTCTCTCCGTTCTTGTGAGAAGTGTGTTGTTGCTTTGCGGGTTTCAATATCTCTGATCAACCTGACGGTGTCTACATGAGGGAGCTCGTTTCAGGCGCTCAACCAGGGACCCTTTTTCCGAGGCTTCGATGTTGGACACATCATGCATCATGGTTGCGATTACTTTGAGCCTCGCTCTCTCTCTCTCTCTCTCTCTCTTGTTTAATGGCTTCTCTCGCTTCTCTCCGGATGGCGTCGTCTGACCCAAAAGGGCGTTGCTTTGCCTTTGCATCTTGACTGAGGTTTGTGTCTAAGGATACTGGGCGATCAACTGATGATGGTTGTCCTTTACAAAATCACATATATATATATATATACATAGTATATATATAATATTGACCCAGGATACATCCGTCCCATTATTCGGGGGATATTCCCTCCAAAAGTGGTCGAATCCCCACTAAAAGGGGACACCCCCCCATTAATCCACCGGGCTGGCTTTCGCTTAGCAGATCTTCGCAGGTCAGCGAGTTGCGACGGGGCTGAAGAGAGAGCCTTTTGCGAAACCAGCTTGTGCAACTTTTGCTTCCCTTGTTTGTCTTAAAAAGAATCGATGACTACTGGCCATGTGCATATGTTTTCCCGGGACGTATCCGCAAAGGGAGACCAACAGCCAGGAACAGAACCGCTCCTCACAGATCGTATTGCAAAGGCTCCGAGAGAGCATATTATGCGTGCAAAACTGAGCAGGTCAACTCAGTGGCTTCCATGTGACGTTCTGCGCCGAAGTTTCGTGAAGTCACGACACGCGGCGAAATCGCCACGAAAGATGGGCAGCATGGGCGGCGCGCGAAACCAGGGGGCGAAAACAAATCGTGGGGGCGAAACGATGCGCGCGGCACGGCGAAACGAAGGGCCGGTGACTGGCGGAGGTCCCTCATCATCCACGGCGGCTTCTGCATGGAGTCTCCAGACATCGCCACCAAGGAGCTGGAGAGCATAGGTGACTTCCAGTTTTAAAAACCCCAAAGGCTCAGGGGACTTCCATTTGCTGATGTTTTGTGTTGTTGCTTTCTATGGTTGAGAAGAAACCAAACTCAAAGCATAGGTGTGCTTTTTGCTGGTTTTGCCATCGAAAAATCGATGGCGATTCCGGGAGAACACCTGCCCGGACAATCCATCGATTTCCCCTAAAAGGACACCTACTGTGGATGGGTGCGAAATCCCTTCGCACCACGAAATGAAGCCATGGTTGAAACCATTATTTACGTTGGGGAATCATTTCAGGGTTTCTTGGGTGAGCGGATTTCGTCCATCCACGGTATGTTGGAGAGAAGCGGGGGGAAGTTGTCGACTGGACACCAATCGGATGCAATCAGCTCCTTGGCTGAAAAGAAGGTGGGTGCATCAATCTGAACTTGTTTTAGCAACGCATCACCGGTTGGTTTTGGTTCTTTCTTGTTATTTTTTGTTTTTGTCGTTCTTAGTCAGACGGGTTGGCTGGCTGGCAGGTTGCGTGGTTGCTTTGTCGGGTGTGGGAGCCCTGGCTCTTTGATTTGCGGTCTGAACAGGGTAACGCGACTTTGTTCACTCGAGTCCCAATCAAAGCCCGGGTAAGTGGAGACTAGAAAGGGACAATCCCAGCCAGACTAGGTGCCGCCTTGTTAATTCTCTACACGGTTCTGGGTAGACCATTTTAATGCCAGGTTTTTATTGTGACTCTAAGTGGCTACGGCTATTGTTTATGTACAATGCTCCCGTTTGGTTTCAAAGTACTGTACTGGAAATGTGTTTCTATTTTGTCAGGACGTATCCGCAAATGGTATTCTGAGGTATTCTTCGATGATCTGGATTTGATTTGCTTTACCGTACCCCTCCACAGTTTTGTAGCCTTGGGTCTTGACCCCTAGGTGCAAGTGCCCCTAGCGATGGGTACCAGGGGCACACTTTGTAAGTGGTTAGTAAGCCTGGTGAGACAACCCACGGGAACTTATAACCACGGGTGGCTTACCAGGCTTTCTCACCGCTTACGTACCCTGCCCCTTGAAGTAACTCGGGCATAAGAACTCGGGGGCATTTTCTTGGGTTCAAGATTCACCCGGAATGGTCGGCTTGTTATCAGGACAAGCAGCTTCGAATGTTTCACACCTAACAGTACATCATTTTGACGCCTGCCTTTTATGTCCTTTTATGTTATTATATTTATTATATAATATATATATATATATTTGCAGGGGAGGCGGGCGGGGGTAAAAGGAAATCAAAAGGAACATCATTTTCCTGGGTTCTCTAAAACAAGAGGTGCGCCCATATGCAGTACTTGCTCTCGAGCAGGACAACAGCGGGGATTTGCTGAAGAATTCATACTGCAACGACGCTGGCGACCCAGATGGCCCAGATTCTCCTTTCAGGCTGGAAGGATCAGTTTTATCAATTGTTTGAGAAACAATGGGAAAAACTTGTTTTTTGGTGTTGTTGTTGTTGTTGTTTTTTAATGGAAGAAGAGCTTTAGAGGAGGTGTTTTTTTTGTTGCATGGCTTGGTTACCATGTTAGGCCCTCCGAACCCCGGAAATTCTGGTAAAGTGAATGCCCACCTTCCAAGCCCAGAATTCCAGAAACCCCAAATTCCTGGCTGAGGCCAGCTCTTATGACAAGGCAAAAAACTCTAGGGGGTGATTCCATGTCCATTCTTTTCAGCCATCGTTCTTTTCAAAAACCGGCTGTTTCCCTGGGTTTTTGATTCCTTTTCCATTCTTTTCAGCCATCGTTCTTTTTCAAAACCAGCCATCTCCCCAGGGCTTTTGGCGGTTTTCTGGAAACAAGGATTTTTGGAAATAATGGGGAAGCTACCCTTAGAAAAACCGATCTTCTGACCCCCTTGGGTCCAAGGCTTAGCTTGCGCCCTGACCCAGCGATGCAAGCAGTTTGTCAACCAGTGAAGTGGCTTGACAATGACACAAGTGACAGGAAGCCTTGAGACAGAGCAGGAAACCGAAACGACATGTTCCTCGAAATCCACGAGTTCGCTACAGTGGGCTTGGTGTGGACAGATTCATCTTCCCCCCCAAAAAAAAGAGCAAGACACATCATGAAAAAGACAAGGCAAAGCAGAGGTAGTGGAAGCCAACCAGTCAATCTGTGAGGAATGGATCTAGTTGTGTTGAAAGATCATTTTCTGCGAAAGCTTTCAAACAGAGACCGCCTTTGCGCTGACAGCAAATCGACCTGTTTGAAGCCTTTTCGCTCTTAGACCAGACATAGCAAGACCCATCTAGGCCTTGGGGTTTTGATCTACGGGTGGCCAATCGCTCGGTTTCGGGGGCCCCCGAGGTCCGCATCTTAGACCTTCAGAGAATGCTTTGGCCAGGGCCTCTGATCCCGGAGTGCTGGCGGTTGGTGAGTTGGGGCCATCTCAACCTTCCACAAGTCCAGGTCAAATATGGCTGTGGTTGTCCAAACCGTTTTGGGATCCCACTAAAATGGGTAGGTGAAATCACCACCCATTTTAGTCTATTTTCGTGGGGATTGGGAAGTTGACAGGGGGTACGGGCTGGCCATATCCGCAACTCGCCCCTACCCCCTGAAAGAACCGAATCGAACCCGGAACCCGTGCTGAATGCTGGGGCAGAGCCCCCATACGTTCAGCTGTTGGGCAGAAAGTGCCCGTTGAATACCTGGGGTTTGGTCAAGGTTTGATATTTGTTAAAGGCCGCCTCGGACGGCAGCTCGGTGCCGTCCTGCTGAACCATTCTTCAAATGGTGGCTTCTTTACTAGCTGCTGGTTAGAGGAGAGCTGTTACGGAGCGGACAGGGTTGTTGTTGGCAAACATTTTACATCTTTGCTTCTTGTGGTTTAGTGGGAAATCCCCACTTAACTGCTAACATTAATTTTGTTGCTCCCCTTCCAACGTCAACGAAGCTGAGGGTATCCAAATTCATCCAAGAGCATCCAAGAGGGAGATAAGGAGCCAGGAGTTCCTCAAGGTTGTTTCAGCAACCCTGCAAGCGTAGCTTCCGACAAGGCATGCCCTTACAGGCATTGCCAAGTCGCCCGAGGGCAAACCGAGAAATCATGCTTGCTTGAACTGGATCTCTACACTTGGGCTGGGACTTGCATTGTCAACTATAAAAGGAAAGTAGCGGCCAGCAGGATAGCCATTGAGTCTTAGGCCAGTTTTCACCTGCGGTGAAATCCCTGGCCAAGGATGTTGCATTTACCTGTTCATGTCTGCACGTGTCGAAGACGGTTTTCGTGCTCAAGGGTGGCGCGATGCGCGATGCTCGTTCTACAGCAAAAAGCTGCCCTTGCGAATGAAAAGCAGCTTTGCAGACCGGCCTCCGCTTCCATCGTGGTCTCCAATCTTTGCCTGCAGGTGCTGTGGGATGCCTTAGGCATCGAAGGCACTGGATCCCAATATGAATCTCTGAAACCTTCCAAAGCTGATGTGTTTATCAGCCATTCCTGGTCGTGTTCAACTTGGATGAAAGGCCTGGCAGTGTGTCACTATTTGAATCTCGACATGGCCATTCTCTCATCCCACCTTACGACCATGCTTGGGGTTTTGATCCTCCTCTTCTTTTCAGGCAGCTTTAGTGGTGTGGCGCAGTTGGGTTGCGGCCTTGTTGGCGGCGCCTTAATCGGCTGGCCGGTGACGGCGTTCCTGACCCTTGGCAGTTCCCAGCCTTCCGGTCGCTTTGGTTTTCAGGGCTTTTAGGGAGTGGTAGTTTCCCACTAAACCACTAAAGTTCCACTTTTCGCAGGGCATTTGGGAGCAGCCCAGGATCGTCTACTTCTTTGGGCATGTGGCAATCCGCAAGAAATTCTGGCTCGATCGAGTCTGTGTGGATCAAGATGAGCAAGACCTGAAGTTGCAGATTCTTCAAGCGCTTCCTTGCTTTGTGGCCCAGTCCGCGCAAGTACTAGTTCTTTGGGACGCCACCTACTTTGAAAGATTGTGGTGCAATTATGAGCTTGCGGTGCACGCTAAGACGTGTACCTCCACAGACTCTACTCAGCTGGTACCTTTGTGGATGCCTCTTTGGACTTTGGCCTGGCTTCTTGGCCGCTACTGGGTTGGATCTCCAACTCCTCTTCTTTTGGAAGAAACATGTGTGTTTCCACCAAGCAAAAGAAACTGTGTTGTGCGACCAAACTATGGCACCACAGGTTTATTGTTTCTACTCTGACCGCTGCTCTATGTATTGGAACACAGAGTGCGCAGATTGCTCTGGAGTCCAGAGCTTCGATCTTTGCCTCTCAGTTTTATTCTACCGTATTGCCGTCCTATGTCTACTTTGTGTGCGCTCTGCCCTTTGCATGGTTTTGCATCCGGAAGCTTGACAATCACAAGCTCATGATGGATCAGATTGCACATTTCGACCTCAGGAATGCAAAGTGTAAAGAGGAGGCTGACCGCAAACTTATTGAAGAACAAGTCGTGCAGCTTTTTGATGAGGCTCTTGACGCCCCCTTAGAGGTTTGCTTTTGTGACATACCGCCCTCCAAGACGGAGCATTGCACCAATGACAAAAGGCCGCTTGTTTCACCAGAGGACCTTCGCGACTTCCGTCACATCACCAGCTACCCGACTCCTGATCAGATTGTTGATCAGTTCAACTCTTATGTGAGAGGCCCACTGTGTGATATCATAGAGGCATCGGTGGGGAACGAGCAACACGTGTCTGCCAAGTTGTGTTGGGTTGGCATGTTTCCTGTATTCCTTTCGGCCCTGGTCACAGTGCTGAGTTGCGACGGACGGTCTGACTGCCAAACATCCGCGGACTATGCAGGCTTCCGTTCGGTGTCACAATATATGGCCACGAATGCAATGATGAACCTGGTATTTATGCCTTTGGTCACCATGCTGGGCTTACCATTGATGCTTCGGGCCAACTCGCTGACTACTGGCTACATTGAAAGCAGCTGGTTGCAGATGCTTGCAGGGTCCGTTCTGAGCGGCTTGGTGCTGAAGGCGACAAATGTCCTGATGTACTCGCAACGTGGCATGATGCTGGTAGTGGCAACTCGATTTTCGGCCTGGTGGCTGGTTGGTCTGACGGCCAGTGTTTTGCTAGAGCTTGTGCTATGGTGGCTTCTGTTTCGAAGAAACCAGCCACACCTGCCCTTGGCACGGTTGCTTTCACAAGCATATTGAGTGCAGCAAAAAGATCGGACTGGAAAGTCAGGGAAACCGGTCAGAGGCGAGGCATTGGTTTGACTTTAGCACATGATCTCACATTGACTGCAGATGTGCTCGTTCGTCCCCAATGCGGTTGTACACTTAATTTGGAGGTTTCAATGCTTATCATTGAGCAGTAAGAGGCAGTAGCAGACCCCTTCTGCTTTCTGTGGAGATCATTCTCCTAGTTGCTGATGGGCTGCAATCATTAAAGCCGTCAGATAAATTTGACATTCCAAATGGGTTGAATGAAAAGGACGGGAAGAGGCCTTTCATATTGTGCCGGTCCCTTTTGCACACGTGTTCCTTTTAGCGGGTTCCTTCCGTTGATTTGCAGGTGTTTTATGATCCTGGGTCCCTCAAAGTGGTTACATGTTTGGAGAACCGTTCTCATTTGATGACTTTTGCGTCCCTTCAACCACCAGAATTGGGGTCTTCTTGACTTCACATATGTTTATTTTGTCAGGTTGACAATGTTCGGCCAAGTTCGCCAATTAGCCACTTGGGGTATAACCCCCTTCTAGCAAGGTTAACCCCATGAAGGGGGACTCACAAGTGGAAGCTGTGAGATTTTTCTTTCCACTGGTTTTCTCTGTGTTTATTGATTGATTTGTCTTGTTTTGCTGGGAGACTCAACCGTCTCGAAGTTTTCACAACATGTTTACGCACAACCAAAACATGATTTCTTACAGGGAATCAAACTGGAGTTTGTTGTGGCCTTTTTTGCTTTGCTATGCCGGAGTTTTTGCGCGACTCTTGCGACACGTGTTTTTTCCAGAAGCAGCTGCTTCTCGCAAAGTTTTATAGCGGTGTTCGCCCAAATGCAGTCCCGCGCTCAATCCACAGGTGTCCTGTTAGGTCAGTTAATACAGGGGGCGCTGGTGTCAGTTTGGTTCTAATCATGCCTCCTTTGGAGTCTCCTCCAGCACTCTGTTTCATGTTGGAGTAGGCAAAGTATGAAGTATAATTGTACACACATCGCGCCCGCCTCGGCCAGTGTCAGCCGGATTCTTTCGGCTTCGTGCTGGGGTTTGGTTTGCCTTGAAGTGTTTGGTCTTTTGAGTGAGTCGTCGCCGAACTCTGTGAGCTGGTTTCCAAGATGGGTGGGTGACAGAGCGGACATGTGTCTAAGGGCCAGAACTAGAGCCGTCCGCGAGCAAGGCTACGGGGCAGAATTGCCGGGTCAGCGCTATAGCCAGCTTGGGCTGGAAACGAGAGCCAGCCATTGGCAAGGCCCAGTGTAGGTGTTGGACACCGGCAGCTGGAGCATGGGTTTCGCCGCGCGACGAAAGGGGCGTGGGGCATTCTTCAATCGTTTGCCGTTACTCTGTAGGGAGATAAGGAGCTAGGAGTTCTGCCCTGCAAAGCGTGGCGTCAATCAGACCCTTACAGGAATTGCATAGTCTAATGCCATTTTTCGCCTGTGATGAAAATCCTTGGTTCAGGAAGCGGCATTTGCCTGTTGAGGTGATTTTGGTCCAAGGCGGTTTGCATGCTCAAGGGTGGCGCGATGCGCGATGCTCGCCCTACAGCAAAAGGCAGCCCTTGCGAATGAAAAGCAGCTTTGCAGACCGGCCTCCGCTGCCATCGTGGTCTCCAATCTTTGCCTGCAGGTGCTATGGGATGCCTTAGGCATCGAAGGCACTGGATCCCAATATGAGTCTCTGAAGCCTTCCAAAGCTGATGTGTTTATCAGCCATTCCTGGTCGTGTCCAACTTGGATGAAAGGCCTCGCAGTGTGTCACTATTTGAATCTCGACATGGCCGTTCTCTCATCCTGCCTTGCGGCCATGCTTGGGGTTTTGATCCTCCTCTTCTTTTCAGGGGGCAGCTTTAGTGGTGTGGCACAGTTGGGTTGCGGCCTTGTTGGCGGCGCCTTAATCGGCTGGCCGGTGACGGCGTTCCTGACCCTTGGCAGTTCCCAGCCTTCCGGTCGCTTTGGTTTTCAGGGCTTCTAGGGAGTGGTAGTTTCCCACTAAACCACTACAGTTCCACTTTTCGCAGGGCATTTGGGAGCAGCCCAGGATCGTCTACTTCTTTGGGCATGTGGCAATCCGCAAGAAATTCTGGCTCGATCGAGTCTGTGTGGATCAAGATGAGCAAGACCTGAAGTTGCAGATTCTTCAAGCGCTTCCTGGCTTTGTGGCCCAGTCCACGCAAGTACTAGTTCTTTGGGATGCCACCTACTTTGAAAGATTGTGGTGCAATTATGAGCTTGCGGTGCACGCTAAGACGTGTACCTCCACAGACTCTACTCAGCTGGTACCTTTGTGGATGCCTCTTTGGACTTTGGCCTGGCTTCTTGGCTGCTACTGGGTTGGATCCCCAACTCCTCTTCTTTTGGAATAAACATGTGTGTTTCCACCAAGCAAAAGAAACCGTGTTGTGCGACCAAACTATGGCACCACAGGTTTCTTGTTTCTACTCTGACCGCTGCTCTATGCATTGGACAGCAGAGTGTGCAGATTGATCTGGAGTCCAGAGCTTCCATCTTTGCCTCTGAGTTTTATTCTTACTACGTGCCGTCCTATGTCTACTTTGTGTGCGCGCTGCCCTTCGCATGGTTTTGCATCCGGAAGCTTGAACATCACAAGCTCATGATGGATCAGATGGCACATTTCGACCTCAGGAATGCAAAGTGTAAAGAGGAGGCTGACCGCAAACTTATTGAAGAACAAGTCGTGCAGCTTTTTGATGAGGCTCTTGACGCCCCCTTAGAGGTTTGCTTTTGTGACATACCGCCCTCCAAGACGGAGCATTGCACCAATGACAAAAGACCGCTTGTTTCACCAGAGGACCTTCGCGACTTCCGTCACATCACCAGCTACCCAACTCCTGATCAAATTGTTGATCAGTTCAACTCTTATGTGAGAGGCCCGCTGTGCGACCTCGTAGAGGTAGCGGTGGGGAAAGAGCAACACGTGTCTGCCAAGTTGTGTTTGGTTGGCATGATTCCCTTACTCCTTTCGGCCCTGGTCACAGTGCTGAGTTGCGACGGACGGTCTGACTGCCAAACATCCGCGGACTATGCAGGCTTGCAGTCGGTGTCACAATATATGACCACGAATGCAGTGATGAACCTGGTATTTATGCCTTTGGTCACCATGCTGGGCTTACCATTGATGCTTCGGGCCAACTCTCTGACTACTAGCTACATTGAGGGCAGCTGGTTGCGGATGCTTGTAGGGTCCGTTCTGAGCGGCTTGGTGCTGAAGGCGACGGATGTCCTGTTGTACATGCAACGTGGCATGATGCTGGTAGTCGTGACTCGATTTTCGGCCTGGTGGCTGGTTGAGCTGATGGCCAGTGTTTTGCTAGAGCTTGTGCTATGGTGGCTTCTGTTTCGAAGAAACCAGCCACACCTGCCCTTGGCACGGTTGCTTTCACGAGCATATTGAGTGCAAAATATTCGGACTGGAAAGCCAGGGAAACCGGTCAGAGGCGAGGCATTGGTCTGACTCCGACAGACAGACTAGGTCCCCCAGCTAGGTGCCCTTCTCTCCCCTTTTTGGGTTGGGAGGGTTCCCCTACAAAAATAGACGTCCTGACAAAAATCGGGTACCAACTTATTCGAACCTCTCAAATCTGGAGGACCTATAGAGTACATGCCCCGGAGTGGATATTTTGTTGTCCTTGGAGTATGCTGTTTGGTTTCTGACTAACGTGCCCTGTTGGATGGAGACACACAGACGGACCTATTGAGGTCCCGGCTCCGCAGCCACGGCACGCCGCCGGTGGGGCGCTACGGCCACACGCTGTCGCTCTCGGAGGACGACGCCGTGGTCTTCGGAGGCGCGCCGGGCACGCGCCTTTCGGAGCGCCGGGGCGGAGGGCGGTTTTTGTTTTGTGGGGGTCGGAACATAAGGGAATGCTCGGTTTGTTGAGTGTTTTTTTTTGTGATTGGTGCCTTTGGATGTGGTTTTCTTGTTTGTTGTGTATCTTCCAGGCAAGTTGCCCAATTCGTTGTTCGCCTCAAGTGGCCATGGCCGAGCTCTGGCCGTGGTGGCAACGGGAAAGGAAACATGAAGCTGGATGAAAGGATCTTGACGAGCTGGTCCAAGGTTGCGCGGGCCATGAGGGAAATGCTCTACGAATAACTTGGATGGTACGGTGCACAGAACTCCGGAGGTGCTTCCATTGAAATCCGGATGGGTCTTGTCCTTTGATCTCGGCTGACGTGTCCTGGCATTTTTTGCTTCTTCGGCGAATTCAGAACTCTGGGGTGATTTGGTGGTTCTTTTCCGGGACTGAAATCCATCGGATCTTCTTCTTGCTTGTTGTCCGTGTCTTGCCCAGTCTTGGCATTCCTCTCGAGATTGTCCTATGGTTGATATCTCTGCTGTGTTCATAGCACCTGACATAGACGTCCATCTCCTGAAAATGCCGACGTGCATCTGGCATTTGGCTCGATGGATCAGTGGCAAATTGATAAAACAGCGATGGGAGGGAACGATCTTTCATCTCTTTCATCGCGCGTATACCCATTTGTTTCAGCATCTTCCATTTGCTTCAGAATATGTTTTTTTTTTTTTTTTTTAAGAAACCTTGTTGGCTTTAAAAAGAACTTATCCCTACTGGAAATAGTTTTGTTTTCCAGGAATCTCAACCAAATGGAAGTCACATACCCGATGTTCCCAGACGAAACAGATGCACGCAGAGAATTGAGGAAATTGTAGAGCTCGCGTCATCCAGGTCTTGCAACGTCGGCTTCCATTTACTTAAGAATATTTTGTTGATTGTCTGTTGGTTTTAAAAGGAATTTGTCACTACTGGAAATGTTTTTTGTTTTTCCAGGGGTCGTAACCAAATGGAAGTCATGATTGTTCTTAACATTGCAGGAGTGTATGTGTCATATGTGTTGATTATATGTTATTGCCAGTCCAGAAGAAAAGTGTCTTAGGATAGGGGTACTGAACAGTGGATCTCGGTTTTCCTTTGGGTACAGCAGCGGAAGCCCGCAGAATCGCCCAAAGTCGCTCCCGACTCCCGTGCTTATCTGGGCCTATCGACCCCGTAACTTCTAGCTGTGGAAAACCTCACTCCCTGAGTCCCCGAAACCTCACTCCCTGAGTCCCCGGACTTTTTTGTTTTGGAAAGACAAAGACCACTTTAGTGGCAAACCAACAAAAATCAGGCTTGTTTTGGCCAGTCCACACAGAAAGTGATACAACGAGAAACCCAAATCTGCCAGACCTCCAAATGTGAAAGCTTCGCGTTTTTTTTTTGAAGAGTCAGAAGAATGGCAATAAGAAGTTCATGGCCCGCAGAGAAAAGGATGAGCGGCTTGGCCCGATGAAGCTTGCTGACTGCCAGATGAGCTTTGTTGAATCCCCTCCCCTTTCTTACACAAAGGGTGTGTCAACAAAGGGAACCTTAAAAAGGTGGTTTGCCTTGTTCCCGTTTGAACCAACCTGAAGATGGTACCGAGTCCTAAGAAAGACAAAAAGCCATGGTTTGCTTTTGGCAGGCGGTTTTTGGTTTGTACTCGCTCGGCTCGGCAGGCTGGTGCGGCGCCACTAGCCAGGCCAGTGGGGCAACTCGTGCGCCATCTTTGGTCGTTTTGGACCCAAACCCCCAGAGCCCCCCCATTTCCCGGCATCCCCCGTCTTGGGGGTGACAGACATTTGGAGACTAAGTTGGTATGGGTGCTTTAAAAAAAATAAAATCGGGGGCTCGGTACCTTTTGCACGTGTAAAGGAAATTCAACAGGAAGACACTTTTTTTTTTGGGGGGGGGGGGGTTATGTTTTGACACCCAGCGGCTTTTTATGGTGAGCTCACCAATCTGAAGGGCACACTATGTGGATCCTTCACATACTTGGGGTTGCCTTATTTAGCTTTTCGTTGTTTTTTCAAGTTTTGGAATCGATTGTTGTCGAACTTGCAGGATCTTTACACTTCCAGCATTGCTATCGCAGTGGGAACTTCACTCTTCGACCCTTTAACGTCAAGCGTTGTTCAATGTCCAGTGCGTTCCGCTCGGGTTTCTTTTTGGAAGCCTTCCATTCACTTTGCTTCATGTTCAACCTGGTAGGTTTAAAGGGAAGCGATCTATGGACATATCTTCCTCTTTTTTTTTGAAAGGGAAACCAACAGGAAAGCTGTGTTTTTTTGTGGGGGGTCCCCTAAGTTTTTTGTTTTCAAGCCAAATAAGTGTTCTAAAGGAGGGATGGCAGTTGAGGGAAGACCGGGAACCTTGCAAAGCACAAACACCTAACACCCCAATTCTGTTGCAACGGATACGGAGATGAGAAAGCAGCTTTCGAACTGAGGAAGCGACACCAATCAAAGATATCAACAAAGCGGTTGTTGTGTTTCCTTCTTTTTGTTCAGACTTGGTTGCGGGCTCTTTCCGTTTTCGCCGTGTTTTTGTTGCAGTTGGATTGCACGAGGTGCCACATGCTTCCGAGATCTTCCGAGTTGTTCCTCAGGGGGGTGGCATTTGAGCTGATTGTTTGAGGGTACCCTCGTAGGTTGGTTTAAAGGGACACCAGTCACCAGAAGGAGAACCACAATCTGTTTGTTTGTTTGTTTGTTTGTTTGTTTGTTTGTTTGTTTTCGGGGGGGCGTCAAAATGTTGGAACATACGCGTCTGAAGAGAGCATGGGCCCCTTTTGGCATTCCTGGCTCAGTCAATGAAGGTTTGACCCCCGGCAACCCAGCGTGTAGATGCCTCGGCACTGTGGTTCTTTAGAGGGTACAAGCTGTTTATTTTACTTTCTGCCATGAAGTGCACGTGGCCCCATTTCACCCACAGAACCAAAAAGGGGTAACACTGGGTTTTCCACAACCCAGTTTAACCGGGTCCTTGGAAGATTTGGAATACTCCTTGATTGTGCTCCCCCGCACTGCTCTTGTCAGCCCCGACGCTGCAGCAAAGCGCTTCTGCTTCACGTGGCTGCGTCTTTTTCCAGGAATTGGAGCCCCCATAAACAGGGCTCCTTAAAAGATACAGATACATTTTGCCCATTTGAAACATGGCTTTTTCCGCCAAAATAAAGGGAAACCACCATTTACAAGGCAATGTTCAGGTGTTTTCATGTAAGGCTCCCTGATAAAATGGCGGTTTTCCCGCGGCTTCCCCTGGAAAAACCATACCAACTCGGAGTAGCATCAAAAAAGACAGACCCATGTGAGGGGGTTGTCAAACGGGGCCAACATGGGAATGCAGGTTTTAATGTTCGCCGAAGCGTCGCCTTAGCACGGCTCCATCTCCAAAAACCGCATTCGCTGACGCAACCGGAAGGCCAGGAACTACCAACATGGGCGAGATTCATTGCTCTGGGGTGAGTTTTTTTGCCTCTAGAATCAATTCACTTGCCACCATCTGAACTCTTGTTGCCTGTTTGGTTTCCTTGTTTGTTTGCTTGTTTTTTTTGGTTGAATTTGTTTTAAGTCGCGGCACAAGGTCCTGATCCTTTGGGCAAACGAGTCAAGCCACGCAAACTGCTGGCCACTGGACAAGTAAAACTTGAAGCGTGCAAGTGCGACAGGGCAGCCGAGGCTCTTCCCTTTCCTTCAGTAGTTGCCTCAAGCCTTGGAGATGAAGCTTTGCACTCAGGACAGCAGAATCTTTGGTGCATGTTGCGAAGGGATGTTAGGACTTTAGCTTTTTGCCAACTCATGGGTTTTCCGCATTAAACCACTAAAAGTTAGTCACTTTTTTAGCAGGGCTTCGCAGATTTCGCAACCGAGGAATGTCCTTGTTAACAGACACCAAACTGACACAAGTTACGTTCTCCAAGGAGTGCGTCGCCCTTCCTATGACTCAAAGAGCGTCGATCCGCATGGCGAGGAAACGCGCATCGTCAAGCTTGGGCATTGCCTGATCTGTCTTGATCTGGGATTGAAAAGCAAGTGGCTCTGCGGCAATACTAAACCAAGTAGTGACAGTGTGCTGGCAATACTAGACCAAGTAGTGGCAATTCAAATGGAAGTGCTGGCAATACTAAAGCAAGTAGTTGCAATCCAAAAGGAAGTGCTGGCAATACTAAACTAAGTAGTGGCAGTGTGCTGGCAATACTGGACCAAGTAGTGCCAATTCAAAAGGAAGCGCTGGCAATACTAAAGTAAGTAGTTGCAATCCAAAAGGAAGTGCTGGCAATACTAAACTAAGTAGTGGCAATGTGCTGGCAATACTAGACCAAGTAGTGAAAAATCAATAGGAAGTGCTGGCAAACTAAGTAATTGTAATCCAAAAGGAAGTGCTGGCAATACTAAAGTAAGTAGTTGCAGTCCAAAAGGAAGTGCTGGCAATACTTAACTAAGTAGTGGCAATGTGCTGGCAATACTAGACCAGGTAGCGGCAATTCAAAAGGAAGTGCTGGCAATACTAAAGTGAGTAGTTGCAATCCAAAAGGAAGTGCTGGCAATACTAAACTAAGTAGTGGCCAGCCGCGTAGCTCAGACTTTTGGGTGTGTTTTGCGAACATGATTCAGCTGCTGGCACAATCATGGTTGTTGTTGGGTCTATTTTGCATGTTTGCTTATTGTGGTTTAGAGGGAAATCCCCACTGAACTGCCATTTTTTTTTGCTCCCCTTCCAACGTCAACCAAGTAATCCGCACCCAACCAAGACATCGCCAGACGGCGTTAGGTGCCTTGTCAACACGGGATGATAAGAACGAAAACAAACGGACATTTCCCATTGCACCCTTCACATCGCAATGCTTTCTCATTCCAAGCGCTTGCAATTTTCGAGCATCTGCTAAAGTGTACCTTGTTTTTGTACTGTGCACCTGCACTACGCTTTTACTAAAAGCTTATGCATCTCGAGCTGGCGCCGCCAAAGTGTACTCTACGTGCTACACTTGTGCTAAGAAAGTTGCGGCGTTTGAGCTGCAGCAACCTATGTGAGCTAAATGGTTTCATGCTCGGGTCCGAAAGCGCAGCAAAACACCAAAAAACACTGCAAAATGATAGATCTACAGCGATAGACCCAAACCGGCAATCAGGACAAAAGACCGGGGTTTTCTTTCACCCTCAATGTAGATCACAGCAAAAAAAGGTCAATGTAGGCTCAGAGAGGGCACTGGTTGGGTTGCTCGGGTTTCGCCCAAAGGACCCCGGTCTCCGCTTGTTTGGTTTGTTCCTCGCCATAGGCACACAAGGGAGGGTTCAAACATCGACAAAAAAAAAGCAAAAGAAAACAAGGAACCTAAAAACCCTAAAACCTAAACCCTAAATCCTCCTCATAGGCACACATCTCCGCTGAAACTCGTGATTAATCAGGCGCCGAGCGTGACCTTCGCCTTGAAGGACAAGGCCGAGAACGACAAAGGGGGGCCCCGAGAAACGTCGGAAGGTGAGGTACACTAGGCCCAGCAGTGGTGCAAAACTGAAAAAAATGGTGGCCTTATTCTAACCTCTGTACTGGAGGACCTAGTTGGAGTATGTCGTTGGGGTTTCTGACTAACGGACCCTTCTGGGGATACATTGGAGCATTCCCCATGGTTTTCCTCCCGAAAGAGCACTAGCATAACATCGAGGCCTTGGCACAGTGGTTCATGCAAACCCCCACGGTAACTTATGGAACCGGATTCCCCCACGCAACATCATCACCTTCACTGTTGTTGGCAGTTGTGTTGTTTCTTCGTTTTAGTAGGGCGGCAAAAGCAAACAAAGCAGGGCTGTGGGGAATGGAATCCACTTCTGTGATACAACAGAAAGGGCTTCCCAAAGACTAGCCCCCCATACAAAGGGGGAGATTCCCTTGTATCACAGAAGTGGGGAAAAACCCCTTGATCCCACAACCCTGAAACAAAGTGTTTTGCTACCATACCAAGGGTCAGAAGGTCATTGAATAGGGATGGGTGATGAGCTAGACACTTATGGACCAAGGTAGGCTGGTCATGTCTTGGATGCATCTCTCCAACCGGACAGCCCCATGTTGTGAGGCGTATAGACCCATGAAATTCCAGTCACATCAGCAGCCCGGCATGACCCACGAGTCTAAGAACCGCCACGACCTGTGAGGGCTTGGTGAAATTGGATCTTGCTGCTTCGATCAGAACATGAGTCCTACGAACCATCCCCTATGGTTTCCTTTGAGGGAATTCCAAACAACCTGCGCTATTCGGTTTCCTTTGAGGGGAATTCCCAACAACCTGGGCTATTCGGTTTCCTCTGAGGGAATTCCCAACAACCTGGGCTATTCGGTTTCCTTTGAGGGAATTCCAAACAACCTGGGCTATTCGGTTTCCTTTGAGGGAATTCCCAACAACCTGGGCTATTCGGTTTGCTTTGAGGGAATTCCCAACAACCTGGGCTATTCGGTTTCCTTTGAGGGAATTCCCAACAACCTGGGCTATTCGGTTTCCTTTGAGGGAATTCCCAACAACCTGGGCTATTCGGTTTCCTTTGAGGGAATTCCCAACAACCTGGGCTATTCGAGGGAATTCCCAACAACCTGGGCTATTCGGTTTCCTTTCAGGGAATTCCCAACAACCTGGGCTATTCGGTTCCTTTGAGGGAATTCCCAACAACCTGGGCTATTCGGTTTCCTTTGAGGGGAATTCCCAACAACCTGGGCTATTCGGTTTCCTTTGAGGGAATTCCCAACAACCTGGGCTATTCGGTTTCCTTTGAGGGAATTCCCAACAACCTGGGCTATTCGGTTTCCTTTGAGGGAATTCCCAACAACCTGGGCTATTCGGTTTCCTTTGAGGAATTCCCAACAACCTGGGCTATTCAGTTTCCTTTGAGGGAATTCCCAACAACCTGGGCTATTCGGTTTCCTTTTCGGGCTATTCGGAGGGAATTCCCAACAACCTGGGCTATTCGGTTTCGGTTTTTGAGGGAATTCCCCCAACAACCTGGGGTTTCCTTTGAGGGAATTCGGTTTCCTTTGATTCGGTTTCCTTTGAGGGGAATTCCCAACAACCTGGGCTATTCGGTTTCCTTTGAGGGAATTCCCAACAACCTGGGCTATTCGGTTTCCTTTGAGGGAATTCCCAACAACCTGGGCTATTCGGTTTTCTTTGAGGGAATTCCCAACAACCTGGGCTATTCGGTTTCCTTTGAGGGGAATTCCCAACAACCTGGGCTATTCGGTTTCCTTTGAGGGAATTCCCAACAACCTGGGCTATTCGGTTTCCTTTGAGGGAATTCCCAACAACCTGGGCTATTCGGTTTTCTTTGAGGGAATTCCCAACAACCTGGGCTAGGGAATTCCCAACGACCTGGGCTATTCTTTCCTTTGAGGGGAATTCCCAACAACCTGGGCTATTCGGTTTCCTTTCGGTTTCCTTTGAGGGAATTCCCAACAACCTGGGCTATTCGGATTCCTTTGGGCTATTCGGTTTCCTTTGAGGGAATTCCCAACAACCTGGGCTATTCGGTTTCCTTTGAGGGAATTCCCAACAACCTGGGCTATTCGGTTTCCTTTGAGGGAATTCCCAACAACCTGGGCTATTCGGATTCCTTTGAGGGAATTCCCAACAACCTGGGCTATTCGGATTCCTTTGAGGGAATTCCCAACGACCTGGGCTATTCGGTTTCCTTTGAGGGGAATTCCCAACAACCTGGGCTATTCGGTTTCCTTTGAGGGAATTCCCAACAACCTGGGCTATTCGGTTTCCTTTGAGGGAATTCCCAACAACCTGGGCTATTCGGTTTCCTTTGAGGGAATTCCCAACGAATTCAGTTTCCTTTGAGGGGAATTCCCAACAACCTGGGCTATTCGGTTTCCTTTGAGGGAATTCCCAACAACCTGGGCTATTCGGTTTCCTTTGAGGGAATTCCCAACAACCTGGGCTATTCGGTTTCCTTTGAGGGAATTCCCAACAACCTGGGCTATTCGGTTTCCTTTAGGGGAATTCCCAACAACCTGGGTTATTCCCTGAGCACCAGAAAGTCTTTGGGGTAAAGGAAAGCTAATGATCGTAATGTTTCACAAGCCGTGCTTAATTCACCTGGTTGTCCATGAGTGTGTACCTGACCCAGTTTTTCAGCGGCTCCCTCTCTTCATGCATTGTGGTTTCATGCTTCCCCCAGAAGCATGGCCCAAAAAAGGCGTCCCGTTTTGTACAAGCGTCGCTGGGCAACTGGGCTGAATAATACGATGTTTCATGCAACATCATGTTCATTTTTTCTGTAGCCTTGTTACAGAAACCGCGAGAGCCCATGATGGTTGCCTGCTCGTCGCTTAACGTAAGTGCTCGGCTTGACGCCGACTGCACTGGAGCTTGTTTCTCCTTGCTTGAGTGAGGCCATCTCGCAATATGGTGGTTGCCAGCGGTTAGTTGGAGAAAGACATGCGTGGCCACCCATATCACTTTCCCTAGGTCCTTGAGTTGGGTGCCCTTTCTCTACCCCTTTTTTTGGTTGGGAGATTCGGTTCCCCTAAACTAGACACAGGAAAAAAAGCGGGTAGGCTTATTCTAAGCTCTCTACTGGAGGACCAAGTTCCTTTCACACAAGAGTATGTCAATGACAAGTTCCCTTGCCAGCTGCTCCGTGTGGGGTTTTGGACAGGTGCTAGCCGAAGATGGCACTCAGAAGAAGGAGCCGGAAGACTCCTGTGACTATTGTCTCGCCCCCGGCGGATGTTTCTCATACCAAGATGTTGCGCGGTTTTCGCTCAACGACCCTCAAAAGGGGGGGGGTGCTTGCTTGCTTGCCTGCTTGCCTGCAGGCTGGCTGGATTGCTTGTTTGCTCGCTTGCTTTCTTGTTTGCTGGGCTGGCTTGCTTTCTTGTTTGCTGGGCTGGCTGGCTGGCCAGCTGGCCAGCTGGCTGGCTGGCTGGCTGGCTGGCTGGCTGGCTGGCTGGCTGGCTGGTTGGCTGGCTGGCTGGCTGCCTCCCAAGAAAATCATCCCGAAACTTAGGGAGTGAGTCTATGCTTGGACGATGATAATGATAGGTATAATGGTTGCTCCCCTTTATAATGATCGCACAGATCCACAGGGTCCGACTGCTTTTGTGACACAGTCCATTGAGACACCGGCATGTCAAGATGTGCTTCTGACTCCTTGAGTTGACTGCCAAAACAGCCAAAACGGGTGTCGTTCAACCTTAAACAGCTGGGGATACGCAGGTTTTAGTCGACCTTTCCATTTGCTAGGGCTCCATTTTGGACGCCTATTTTTGAGCCACACCCAAATGCCAGTTCCATGTTTAACTCAACAGGAACTTGTTTTGTTTTGGGTGTCGGCGGTGCACCGGGCCACCGACCAAGCACGCCTCGTGGGGGAGACAAACCCGAAACGGGTTCAAAAAGTCGCGTCCAAACACATATACACAAAACAGTCCACTTTCATTTGTTTCAGAATATGTTTTATTTCCCCTGTTGGTTTTAAAGGGAATCTATTACTGCTGGACATATTTGTTTAGTTATGTTTTTTCCAGGGGGCGAAAACGCAAATGGAAGTCCAAGTTTCCGAATTTACGAAACTTGTGGCCTGAAACGAGCCCCACTTACACCTCCAAACCCCAAGGGACGACTTTCCTTGGCCCAATCCCATTTCGAAGTCTTACATCCCCTTCCACCACCTCAGTTCAAAAGATGTTAGTATCTAGGTCCCCCAGTTGGGTGCCCTTCTCTACCCCTTTTTTTGGTTGGGAGGGTTCCCCTACTAAAACAACTACAGACAAAAGTCGGTACCTTATTCTAACCTCTCTACTGGAGGACCTAGTTCATGTAATGGAAAAACAACTCTAGCGCATTCTCCACGCCTCTTGCAGCCTCTTTCTGCTTCCTCCCCCAAAATGGGTGAGCTCCGAAAGGATCGATCTGATGGAGACAAGGGAGGGTTGCACCGAAAGGGAGCCCGTAATGGGGAGGATCATCCCCCAGTAACCCACCAGTGATTCATTTACCCCTGGGGCTGATCTCAACTCTTCACGAACGGAAGTAGCGCGACCTCCCCAGCCACACAAGAAGCACAAACCCCAGCAAACCAGCCAGCATGCCAGCCAGGAGGCAAGCAAGCAATCCAGCCAGCCCGCAGGCAAGCAAGCAATCCAGCCAGCCCGCAGGCAAGCAGGCAAGCAGGCAAGCAGGCAAGCAGGCAAGCAGGCAAGCAGGCAAGCAGGCAAGCAGGCAAGCGGCCCAAATATAGATTGTAGTAAGGCCGTATCATGGCTTACATGAACATCACCCCCCCCCCCCACCCCCACCCCCCCCACACCCGGCACCCGGGCCTGTGGGTTTTTCTCGCACGTCCACTTCGTTGAGGCATGACTCTGCGAACTGCGGACATGCAGTGGGCAGGGGCCCGAAAGCGGCACCGAGCTCTACTTCATTTCTGGTCGCAGACAGTTTGTGACATATGGACTTGTCCGTTTTGAGGGTACCCTGTTTGGGACTTTGAAGGAAAACCACAGGGAACCCAGATAAAAAGGATCAAACAGGACACTCATATGGATTTTAATGGTTAATTTTCTTTTGGTGTCCGTTTCAATCCAGCCAAAAAGGGTACTCTCAAAGAAGACACATCCATATGCATTTGTCTTTTTTTGAGGGCAACCTTTCTGGCGTTGTTCTGAAAGAACACGACAGGGAACCACCATCTGCGGGATCCCTTTGTTTTAAGACACGCCCATATTGTCAGGTGACTAAACCCACCCGGTGGGTTACTTCCTGTTTCCTTTTTTGCAGAGGGAGTTCCCCTTTTAAAATCCGTGTTAGATCTCCGCAGATTGATTATGATTGGCATCCAGCATCTTATGCTTCCTATCCGGGTCATTTGATTCGTATCACAGAACCAAGGAATCGGGGCCGGCCTCTTTTCCCGGGGCTTCTGATGGAACAGATTCCGAGAAACATGCTTGAGCGAAATGCGAGGTTCCCCCCGCGGGGTTTTCGTTGAAAAAAAGCGAATCCTGTTGTACATGGCATCCGTCCTCATTTCGTCTGGGGGCTCATCTTCGTTGGTCGATGTTTGGTTTGCTTTTTCCATGGAACCGGTTTTCCCATGAGGGTCTTGCTTCCAGCTGCACAGGGCAAGCATCTACCAGCTTCCCGGCAAATACTCGCGAACATTTTGCCACGAAGGACGAGCTTTACTGAAACAAACCCTCCACTTGGGTGCATTTTGTTAAGGGATGTTAGGACTTTAACTTTTTGCCAACTAATGGGTTTTCCATGAAGCCACTAAAAGTTAAACTTTTAGCAGGGGATCAGACAGCAACGAAGTCCAGACGTGTATCATGCAGCCGGCTACATGTGTTCTTTGCTGCGACAAGAGCCCTTTGTCTTAGAGATGAGCAAGTGCATGGAGGAGTGGCTTGGCAAGATGCCCATCGGCATTCAGCTGGCGGACTCGTCCTGCCGCGCAGAAGTTGCTCTGTGAGTGGGTCTTGGCCAAAGCAGTGATGGAGCATTTGGATGGCATCCATGCGGGCGCAGAGCATTCCATGTGTCGGTTTTGCAGGACGGTACATGAGGGTACAGAAAGGGCGTAACTATTCAGAATGGGGTTGTGGGGGACTTTGATAGAGACACATTTGAGTATTTGTCTGGACTTATATCACCAAATGGAGTTTCAAGCGCGCTTAAATTAAGACGCAACTATAAGGGAAGCCCTGAAATGTTGGTTTGTTTCTCTTTAAAACAATTCCCGGCGAGCAGTAAAAGAAGACCCACTCATGTTGTTGGACCATTTCCGAGTCATATTCTGCCGTTTCCTTAATGGACACTCAGGATTGATTGACCTGACTAGGATCATGGGAGCTGGGGTGGAGGGAGCGAGGGAGGGAGGGAGGGAGGGAGGGAGGGAGGGAGGGAGGGAGGGGGGGAGCAAAACAGCTTACGGGATTATTTGGGCTCCCCCCCTTCCCCCGGCCCCTGTAGGCTCATCGGATGAACCTCGTATGGTTTGCTTCCTTTGGGCATTCAAACGCCTCATGTCCCGAGAGTTTGGTTTAACAAAAAGGTCGATCGGCTCGAAGTTCCAACATTTACCCTGAACAAAGACCATCGATTTCTCCCAGGCCTTCAAAAGCTCATGTCCCGGATGCGCAAGTCCCCCTTTTCTGCTCTTCAACTGGTTCGATTCGGCGCAGGAAGCAAACAAAAAAGGTCGTGGCTTTTGTCGCTACCTGAACAAAACGGGGCTCCCTGATGTATTTCATCCGCTTTTGGACCTGAAGTCAGTTTCCTTTCGGTGAGGTGATGCTGCTGTTGCTTGTTTTCCGGGCGGGATATAAACCAACCAACCAACCAACCAACCAACCAACCAACCAACAAACAAACAAACAAACAAACAAACAAACAAACAAACAAACAAACAAACAAACAAACAAACAAACACACAATCAAGCACAGACCCACCAAGCTGACACGCATTCTGCCCGTGTTGCAAACACCTCAAGTCTTCCATATCGTCCCGAGGTGAGGAACCAATATGCGGGAGCCGCCCCTTCACGGCGCTACGGGCATTCAGCCACGGCCATTGGCCCTTCGGCTGCGAGTGGATTTCCCCGGGGTCGATGGGGCTGCCACCAAACGTGCGCCAGGGCGGTGCCCTTTTTTTTTGTGTGTGTTGTTTGTTTTTTTCTTCGGCGACCCCTGCTTTGCTTTAAAGGGAAACCAATGGGACAGCAACGGTTTTGCAGAGTGCCTCATTTTGAGTATCCGCGAAGCTTTCTTGTCAGATCTTCAGTAGGGACCCTGGCGGTCAATTTCTTCTCAGGGGGGTTCATGTTTGTTGTGGCGTTAGAAGGGTCAAAGTAACTATTTGAGGTCCAAGCGACCCTTAGGCCAAGGTTTGTTGGTTTTGCAACGGAGAAAACACATAGACCGTTTTTGTTTTTTTCTCCCCCGTTTAGCTGTCACCAAGCGCTTTTTGTCAGTGCATTACAATTCATCTATTGGGATCTGCAGGACGCCCGCCGATGAAACGAGCGACGATCCATCCTGGAAGGTCCCTTGCTTGTGGCTTTCTTATTCCCAGTTTGTTCCTCATAGTCATTTGTCCAGATGAGCCACTTGCACAAGACCAGGGCAAATAAAGATTAAGGGACAATCCAAAGCATAAATCGGTGCGGATATTCGGCTTGTTAGTTCTTTGCTTGAGCTTTTGATTGTGACTCAGATATTCTATCTCACTGGCTGGTTGTTGGGGGACGGATCGCACATGAGCAGGGCGTATCTATTTTATCACAAACAAGGAGCAAACCGGAGATGCACCGGCCATTTATTATCCTCAGGACCCCTGATTTGAGGATCGAGCAGCTTCACTGGACAGAGGTTGCTGGGCCCGACAACGAAGATCACTTCTTGGAATGCCAAATTTCGGTGCAATGATATGCCATGAGTCTAAACTTCCGGCGCGCAGGAAGCAAATTTCTCAACAATGCTTGCCAACGTGTCTGTCCCTTGCAACTTGGCGCATCAAACCTGCCTGTTTTATGCCGAGCGTCGGGGCGAAAAGGAACTGCTCAAATTGTAGGGCCTTCTGTTTGAGGATCCCTTCGTTCAGGTAGATCCATTTGAGGGATCTCGGCATGGCCTTTTCGTAGGACGCTAGTTAGATAGCACCGCCTCGGGATGGAAGCCACCCCTGTATTCAAGACACCATTTTTTAATTAGACGGGTTCAGCAAATGGGGGTGGCTCAAAAAAAAGCGGCCCACAATGGACCCTTGGTAAACGGAAGAGAAGCCTAAAACCTGCGGTCCCCTGTCTCTTCAATTTTGAGCCACGCCCAAATTGCGGCTCATCCAACGTGTGTCAGCAGCAAGGCCCAGCTTTTTTTTGTTCTGGTCTTTTTCCCCAGCCATGCGTGAAATTGGGCGCCTGGACATCTCTCAAGCAGATGGTGGACGACGAGGAGGCCTGAAGATTTGAGGCCTCCATTGAAGCCGCGGCAAGTTTTTTTTTTTTTTTTGTGACACTGCAAATACCTTTTTTGATTGGCGGCCCTCCCATTTGTTGCAGTCAAGTTCTCTCAAAGATATGTGAAAGGGTCCTAAACAATTGGAATGGGGGTCACTTCAGGGAGATTTTGTCATGGCTGGTGGAAACTCCTACTTCAGCCCCTATGACATGACTCTATGACTCGACCTTCCAGGTACTTGACCCATCTGCATGGCTAGTCTTTGGTGTGACAAAGGCCCCTTAGACCCGGAAACTGTTTCTTGCCCATGAATCCCAATCGACCTCTTCCTCATGCAGAAAGCTTGAAGCAACTCAGTTTGGCGTTTCTCAGTGGGTCAAAAATAGGCACATGGCTTGCCCTGGAAAATGCAAACATGGGCTAAAATCTGTTGACCCACACCCAGAGTTTTTCTGGAACGGCTCGCCACTTAGGTCCGCACCTCATCATCTTCGGGGGCTGGGCGCGGAGGCTCAGAAAACAGATTCAGATGGCATCCTCAACCCGGAACTGCGCTAAGGGCCCAACTAGTCACGGGATGGAAGAGCACAAGAAGCCAAATGGGCTGTGTCGTTGTTAGTAACCCATCAGGAGTTCCCTGTGGTTTGCCTTTAGCACCACAAACAGCCCCCCGAGTTAAGTCATCATGAAAGAAGCCAGGTGTGCACTAACCCCTTAGATGCGGAATAGCCCCAAGTGTTCACTGAAAGGAGCCTGCGGACGGCTGCATGGAAGTACAAGATTAGGTTGACCCCCTGTTTGTCCTTCGAAAGGAAGCCCGGAGGCAAACCTGGATTTCCGGAGGCCCGATTTCCTTAGAGGAAAGGGCCCCGTTGGAATTCATAGCTCTTATGTTTGGAAAAGCGAAGGCCCCCAGTCCCAACAAATTGCTAATTTCCCGTAAGGGTACATACACCAGACATTTGGGTGTGTCTTTGTTGAGAGTACCCGTTTTGTTGCTTTAAAGGGAAACCAAAAGGAAGCCCACCATTTCGGAGGTAAAAAAAGGACACACCCATTTTGAGCAACGTCCAAAACATTTGCGCACATGTTTCGAAGTTGTGTCCTATCAACCTGTGAGATAGCAGCACATTTTACGCGCATGAGGTGGCGTAAGCAGGCGAAAGGTTTTTGTTGGCCAGACCTCCTCAGATTTCGCGTAAACCAAAGCAAGCGTTTCGGAAGGTATGCGCAAGCTGAGGCGCAAGCAAAATGGTTAGACAAGTATATCAATCGTTTATTGCTCATTTGTCATTTAAATCGTCAGGGCGAACCACCGAATCATCTATATATATACATCCAGCGAGGGAGGCTTAGAGCAGGCCCAGTGGAATCTACCCTTTTTTGTTCAACTCTGTTTTTGGGAAGGGTTTTCTCTGAAATCGGCCAAACAAGTCAACCAACCAAACCGGACATCGACCAAAAGGTTGAAACTACGGGCTGAGACCAGAAGTGTTTGTCTCCAATTTCTCCACGGGAGGGAATCCAGCCCTGTTTGATTTTGTGCACGCGGCTGAGCTTTCTCGATTTGAGAAATCCATAGGTGTGTGTGTGTGTGTGTATGCGCGTAAATCCTGATAGCAAAGAATTTCTTAGCAGCGGGTGGCAGCAAGGTCGAGAGTCCTTATTTCGACAGATACCCTCACTGCTGTGGAATCAATCAGCAATAGACAATCCTTGCAGGTGGCTTTCTCGTAGACCTTCCAGTCGCTGGTTTCGATGCTTTCCCGTGCTTGCCAAAGGGCGTCCGAATCTTCCACATGTTGACCGAGTACTGGAGCCGAAGTTGCCTCCCCAGTTCCGTTTGTCAGGCGGCTTGGTTCAAGCAAAGCGTCTTCCTCTGTGGCACCTGCTGCAGAACTCCACATCCTTCTGAATTTTGAGAAGCTGATTTCAGAAACCAAAAACTCCAAATCCTGCTGAAGTCTTTGCCCAGCCGATTTCAGAAACCGCTCTGCTTGGGTCACCACCCAGGACGGCGGCAAGCCCTTGAACGACGTCATAGTCCTGCGGGACCGCTCGGTGGCCGAGCGCAAGGAGGACCGAGACAGTGACAAGCTGCGCATCGCATCAGTGGGGCGGGTCGAGCATTGGGACAAGCCTCCCAAATGGCCGTGGGTCGAAACCAATGGTACCATTTTGGTTGGTAGGTGAATTCCCACCCATTTTAGAACCTATTTTAGGTGGAATTGGGATGTTGACTGGGGGTACGATTTGGCTTTTGACCCATGGCCAAATGCGAGTCTTCTTTTAAGATACTAAGTTCATTTGCCGTTGTTTTTTCTTTTTTTCTTTTTTTTTCTCTTGGGCGAAAAACGCTCCTTGTGCGATACTTCACACACATGCGAATACCCCCCTGCAGAAACGAATTTGGCCCATGCCACGGCAATGTGTCGAGGCCCTGAGCTCAAAGCTGACATTTGTTTTCGACATGTTTTTCAATCAAAGTCTAAACTTGGAACCGCGGTTCCAGACTTTTTGACAGGTTTTTCCATCGGTTTTTGCAGGGATCAAAGTCTGGAACCGCGGTGGGCACCCAGCGGATCGTCCAGATCCAAGTTCCCAGGGCCTCGGTCTCAAACGCGGGGAGAGTCGAGGTCAACTTCCCAGGAATTGCCCACTTTCACCTTTTTTTGGGGGAGATTCGGTTCCCCTACTAAACTAGACAGACAAAAAGTTGGTACCAACTTATTCTAACCTCATCTAATCTGGAGGACCTAGGAGTGGATCCTTCACTTTTTGGGGTCGTTTGGGGTCACAGTATCAGGATAGGGCGCCTGAAAGGGAAAGTTGATCTTCCAGGTGTCCCGGTTTATGTTAGGATACTTCGATACTTGCACCCCCCCTTCTTGGGATGTGGCTCAAAAAATAGGTACCACAATGGAACCCTGGTAAGTAGAAACATGGACCTAAACTTGCGGAACCCCTCCTGTTTAATTTTGAGCCACACCCATATTATGGTGAACCCTCAAAGCCGATGTGGCTGACAGTTGGGTGAAAGTAGATGGCACAAGTCAAAACCATTTTAGCTGAGCAATCCCTCTTACTTGCCTAGGGGCTGTCTCAACAAATCGGACATGGACCCCCTATCAGATTTCTTGCAATGTAAGAAGCCAAGAAAAGGGCACCCATGAAGGGAATGCAACACGAACTTTCACCAATCAAAATCAAATAGTTTATGAAAAGGACACCACCAAATAGTTCACCAAAAAAACAATCAGTATGTTCATACAAACTTTCTGTTTTCCTATGAAATTTCCATGAGGGTACCCGTTCCGCCATGTCTTCCTATGGAATCCATTTCTATGGGGTGAGAGATGATGCAACCAGCACGAACGCCCGCATCCAGGAGCTCTTTGAATCACAGCCAGAAGGCCACTTCGAAGGTGACCAGACTGGGGGGGGGTGCAATCGCATTCTGGGCTCGTGTCCTTGGTGTTTTTGGTATGTGTTTAATTTGTTGCTTTGCTTGTTTGCTTGCTGCGCTTGCTTGTTTGATTGTGTGCTTGGTTATGTGTTGTTTGTTTGTTTTGTTTGTCTGTCTGTTTATGTTGTTTGTTTGTTTGTTTGTTTGTTTG